GATTCTTAATCTGGAGGTTGCAGGTTCAATCCCAGGCAGGGAATTTTAGATTTCAAAATTTTATTATTTTTTAGGTCAATTGAAACTTTATATTTAATTTCTTAACCTCTAAAAAGTGTGAAACGGTGCTTAGTCCAGTGGTATAAACTGCTGATTTTAAATCTGGAGGTTGCGGGGTCAATCCCAGGCTGGGAATTTTAGATTTCAAAATTTTATTATTTTTTAGGTCAATTGAAACTTTATATTTAATTTCATAACCACTAAAAAGTGTGAAATGGTGCTTAGTCCAGTGGTATAAACTGCTGATTCTAAATCTGGAGGTTGCGGGTTCAATCCCAGGCTGGGAATTTTAGATTTCAAAGTTTTATTATTTTTTAGGACAAGTGAAACTTTATATTTAATTTCATAACCACTAAAAAGTGTGAAATGGTGCTTAGTCCAGTGGTATAAACTGCTGATTCTAAATCTGGAGGTTGCGGGTTCAATCCCAGGCTGGGAATTTTAGATTTCAAAGTTTTATTATTTTTTAGGTCAAGTGAAACTTTATGTTTAATTTCATAACCACTAAAAAGTGTGAAATGGTGCTTAGTCCAGTGGTATAAACTGCTGATTCTTAATCTGGAGGTTGCAGGTTCAATCCCAGACTGGGAATTTTAGATTTCAAAATTTTATTATTTTTTAGGTCAATTGAAACTTTATATTGAATTTCTTAACCTCTAGAAAGTGTGAAATGGTGCTTAGTCCAGTGGTATAAACTGCTGATTCTAAATCTGGAGGTTGGTGGTTCAATTCCAGGCTGGGAATTTTAGATTTCAAAGTTTTATTATTTTTTAGGTCAATTGAAATTTTATATTGAATTTCTTAACCACTAAAAAGTGTGAAATGGTGCTTAGTCCAGTGGTATAAACTGCTGATTCTAAATCTGGAGGTTGCGGGTTCAATCCCTGGCTGGGAATTTTAGATTTCAAAGTTTTATTATTGTTTAGGTCAATTCAAACTTTATATTGAATTTCTTAACCTCTAAAAAGTGTGAAATGGTCCTTAGTCCAGTGGTATAGACTGCTGATTCTAAATCTGGAGGTTGCAGGTTCAATCCCAGGCTGGGAATTTGAGATTTCAAAGTTTTATTATTTTTGGGTCAATTCATACTTTATATTGAATTTCTTAACCCCTAAAAAGCGTGAAATTTGCCTGGTTCAGTGGTATAAACTACTGATTCTTAATCTGGAGGTTGTGGGTTCAATCCCAGGCTGGGAATTTAAAAAAAAAATTCAAAGTTTTATTATTTTTTAGGTCAATTGAAACTTTATATTGAATTTCTTAACCTCTAAAAAGTGTGAAATGGTGCTTAGTCCAGTGGTATAAACTGCTGATTCTAAATCTGGAGGTTGCAGGTTCAATCCCAGGCTGGGAATTTTAGATTTCAAAATTTTATTATTTTTTAGGTCAATGAAACTTTATATTGAATTTCTTAACCTCTAAAAAGTGTGAAATGGTGCTTAGTCCAGTGGTATAAACTGCTGATTCTAAATATGGAGGTTGCGGGTTCAATCCCAGGCTGGGAATTATAGATTTCAAAATTTTATTATTTTTTAGGTCAATTGAAACTTTATATTTAATTTCATAACCACTAAAAAGTGTAAAATGGTGCTTTGTCCAGTGGTACAGACTGCAGTCTCTAAATCTGGAGGTTGCGGGTTCAATTCCAGGCTGGGAATTTTAGATTTCAAAGTTTTATTATTTTTTAGGTCAATTGAAACTTTATATTGAATTTCTTAACCACTAAAATGTGTGAAATGGTTCTTAGTCCAGTGGTATAAACTGCTGATTCTAAATCTGGAGCTTTCGGGTTCAATTCCAGGCTGGGAATTTTAGATTTCAAAGTTTTATTATTTTTTAAGTCAATTGAAACTTTATATTGAATTTCTTAACCACTAAAAAGTGTGAAATGGTGCTTAGTCCAGTGGTATAAACTGCTGAATCTGAATCTGGAGGTTGTGGGTTCAATTCCAGGCTGGGGATTTCAAAGTTTTATTATTTTTTAGGTCAATTGAAACTTTATATTTAATTTCTTAACCACTAAAAAGTGTGAAATGGTGCTTAGTCCAGTGGTATAAACTGCTCATACTCAATCTGGAGGTTGCGGGTTCAATCCCAGGCTGGGAATTTTAGATTTCAAAGTTTTATTATTTTTGGGGTCAATTGAAACTTTATATTGAATTTCTTATCCTCTAAAAATTGTGAAATGGTGCTTAGTCCAGTGGTATAAACTGCTGATTTTAAATCTGGAGGTTGCCGGTTCAATCCCAGGCTGGGAATTTTAGATTTCAAAATTTTATTATTGTTTATGTCAATTGAAACTTTATATTGAATTTCTTAACCACTAAAAAGTGTGAAATGGTGCTTAGTCCAGTGGTATAAACTGCTGATTCTAAATCTGGAGGTTGTGGGTTCAATCCCAAGCTGGGAATTTTAGATTTTAAAATTTTATTATTTTTTAGGTCAATTGAAACTTTATATTGAATTTCTTAACCTCTAAAAAGTGTGAAATGGTCCTTAGTCCAGTGGTATAGACTGCTGATTCTAAATCTGGAGGTTGCAGGTTCAATCCCAGGCTGGGAATTTTAGATTTCAAAGTTTTATTATTTTTTGGGTCAATTCAAACTTTATATTGAATTTCTTAACCTCTAAAAAGTGTGAAATGGTGCTTAGTCCAGTGGTATAAACTGCTGATTCTAAATCTGGAGGTTGCGGGTTCAATCCCAGGCTGGGAATTTTAGATTTCAAAGTTTTATTATTTTTTAGGTCAATTGAAACTTTATATTTAATTTCATCACCACTAAAAAGTGTAAAATGGTGCTTTGTCCAGTGGTACGGACTGCAGTCTCTAAATCTGGAGGTTGCGGGTTCAATTCCAGGCTGGGAATTTTAGATTTCAAAGTTTTATTATTTTTTAGGTCAATTGAAACTTTATATTGAATTTCTTAACCACTAAAAAGTGTGAAATGGTGCTTAGTCCAGTGGTATAAACTGCTGATTCTAAATCTGGAGGTTGCGGGTTCAATCCCAGGCTGGGAATTTTAGATTTCAAAGTTTTATTATTTTTTAGGTCAAGTGAAACTTTATATTTAATTTCATAACCACTAAAAAGTGTGAAATGGTGCTTAGTCCAGTGGTATAAACTGCTGATTCTAAATCTGGAGGTTGCGGGTTCAATCCCAGGCTGGGAATTTTAGATTTCAAAGTTTTATTATTTTTTAGGTCAAGTGAAACTTTATATTTAATTTCATAACCACTAAAAAGTGTGAAATGGTGCTTAGTCCAGTGGTATAAACTGCTGATTCTTAATCTGGAGGTTGCAGGTTCAATCCCAGACTGGGAATTTTAGATTTCAAAATTTTAATATTTTTTAGGTCAATTGAAACTTTATATTGAATTTCTTAACCTCTAAAAAGTGTGAAACGGTGCTTAGTCCAGTGGTATAAACTGCTGATTCTAAATCTGGAGGTTGTGGGTTCAATCCCAAGCTGGGAATTTTAGATTTTAAAATTTTATTATTTTTTAGGTCAATTGAAACTTTATATTGAATTTCTTAACCTCTAAAAAGTGTGAAATGGTCCTTAGTCCAGTGGTATAGACTGCTGATTCTAAATCTGGAGGTTGCAGGTTCAATCCCAGGCTGGGAATTTTAGATTTCAAAGTTTTATTATTTTTTGGGTCAATTCAAACTTTATATTGAATTTCTTAACCTCAAAAAAGTGTGAAATGGTGCTTAGTCCAGTGGTATAAACTGCTGATTCTTAATCTGGAGGTTGCAGGTTCAATCCCAGACTGGGAATTTTAGATTTCAAAGTTTTATTAGTTTTTGGGTCAATTGAAACTTTATATTGAATTTCTTAACCACTGAAAAGTGTGAAATGGTGCTTAGTCCAGTGGTATAGACTGCTGATTCTAAATCTGGAGGTTGCGGGTTCAATCCCAGGCTGGGAATTTTAGATTTCAAAATTTTATTATTTTTTAATTCAATTGCAACTTTATATTTAATTTCTTAACCACTAAAAAAGTGTGAAATGGTGCTTAGTCCAGTGGTATAAACTGCTGATTTTAAATCTGGAGGTTGTTGGTTCAATCCCAGGCTGGGAATTTTAGATTTCAAAGTTTTATTATTTTTTGGGTCAATTCAAACTTTATATTGAATTTCTTAACCTCTAAAAAGTGTGAAATGATGCTTAGTCCAGTGGTATAAACTGCTGATTCTAAATCTGGAGGTTGCGGGTTCAATCCCAGGCTGGGAATTTTAGATTTCAAAATTTTATTATTTTTTAGGTCAATTGAAACTTTATATTTAATTTCTAATCCACTAAAAAGTGTGAAATGGTGCTTAGTCCAGTGGTATAGACTGCTGATTCTTAATCAGGAGGTTGCGGGTTCAATCCCTAGCTGGGAATTTTAAATTTTAAAATTGTATTACTTTTTAGGGTCAATTGAAACTTTCTAGTTAATTTTTTAACCTCTAAAAAGTGTGAAATTGTGCTTAGTCATGTGGTACGGACTGCAGACTCTAAATCTGGAGGTTGCGGGTTCAATCCCAGGCTGGGAATTTTAAATTTTAAAATTTTATTATTTTTTAGGTGAATTGCAACTTTATATTTAATTTCATAACCACTAAAAAGTGTGAAATGGTGCTTAGTCCAGTGGTATAAACTGCTGATTCTAAATCTGGAGATTGCAGGTTTAATCCTAGGCTGGGAATTTTAGATTTGAAAATTTTATTACTTTTTAGGTCAATTGCATCTTTAAAGTTAATTTTGTAACCACTAAAGTGTGAAATTGTGCTTAGTCCAGTGGTATGGACTTCTGACTCTAAATCTGGAGGTTGCGGGTTCAATCCCAGGGTGGAATTTTCAATTATAAAGTTTTTATTACTTTTTAGGTCAATTAAAACCTTTTTAATTGTAGATTAATTGTATGAGAGACCAGAGAAAGAGGACACAATAAGATAAGGTTGGATTAATTTATTGGCAGCATGGGTGTAGGTCTTGCACTATGACGTTAAGTGTTTGTTAGCCAAAAAACAACATTTTACTCATTAATATACTTTCTAAATAAAGCTCCTTCTAAAGTAATAACTAAATGATATAGTTATATCGTATTTCTTTTCTTGAAAATTAAAATAAGCTGTTTTCTAAAAAAAATAGGTTACAACAAATTAAGATCATCAGAATTTTGTCTTAAGACAAATAATTCATTACAATTTAAAAGTGAGCAGTTACTTAGATAAATCGGAATGTTTGTCTTTGAAATATAATCTTCAGTTGCATATAATTTAAAGTGTATTCTTTTGGATTGAATTAATAATAATGTTAATGTAATAGTAATGGTCGAAGTAATACAGTAAATCGTAAAAAAAGTACTTTGGTCTGCGAGAATGCTGCAATTTGCTCAAGCCCTTTAGGCTCTTCAGGACGTGGCCTGGTAACAACTCTTCCACCTCAATACTGTTCAGCACTCAGCCTGATCAAACAAAATAAACACCATTTCTTTTTTTGCTCAATTCTCTATAACTTATATGTTAATCGAACTGCTATGATCAAATACTAAAAATATACAAATATAGTTATATCGTTACTGGCCTTGTAGGAATCGGCTTTGCACTTTCACTCATCTCGATAATATTAAGAGTACTTTCTCTGTTTTATATTATTAATAACAACAAAATATTAACCTTTGCGGATCTAAATTAATCCACAAGAAAAAACAAAATCTGGAACACTTAATTTATGAACGGGCATAAAATACTGCACATTCACACTTTTTGTATTTCTCAGGCAAAGAAAATGATAATGAAAATATAAACACTTTTTTTGTCTTCTTCAATTCTTGATCAAGTATTACGAACTTAACAATCTTAAAAACTACAGCCTACAAATTTTGGTTAGAACAACACAATAACCACATTAAGCAGGTATACTCTGTATGTGAATGTAACATGTTTAGTCTCTGGCTCTTAATAAGTCTGCATGCAAAATTTATCTGAGAAGACATGACTCGGAAAAAGGCATAAATACTCAAAAATTCACAATTTCCCTTCTTTCTAGATCAAAATCGGTAACTCCCACATATATACACACATTGACTTCTTCAATTCTTGATTATTTACTCCTAGCGATTAAATACGGTGCACAATATTAAGTGAAGAATATCTGCGCATAATTTATTCAAGCAGGCATTACAAACAGGGACTTTTACAACTTTCTTTATACCTTAGGACAAAACTGATTTAGAGATTGACAGGCACTCATTAATATCTCGCTGGATATATCTGTCCTTCGATACTTGTCCATCTTAAAATGTTTTTTCCTGACATACTTAATGAGTTTACTCTGATTCAAGATTAATCTGTTCTTGCTAGATGCCTGGGTGGCCACTGATAAGGGGCTCAAGATATAGGATGGATGGGATTTCTCTTTTATTCTGCCAGAAACAAGGATATCTAGGACTGATTCAGTGACAAATCTAGCATCACTGATAGCAGGTTGATTATTATGGCATAACATAGGAAGAGGGTACTCTGTAAACAGAATCATGTAACCATTACTTAAAACAGATAGTATCATTTGTGGAGATCCGATCTTTCACCAGAATTTCAGGTGTTGTTTTAATCGTCATTTCACCAACATAGCGTCTGATTCTAATTCTTTGGAAGTATAGGATTTATAAGAGCATTACTGAAATACATCGCCAAACTTGTCTTCTAACTTTTTGCGGCTTTCTAGGATGATCCCGCTGGGAGTTGGGGACTTGAACTGATGGTTGCTGACCCTAAAACACTTGATGCACCTTTGGCGGACATTGTGCTGGCTCCGTCAATGGGGGACAGGGCTCTTTGCGAGACAGGGACGTGGAACCTGTTGAAGTAACCCATGGCTGGACTGGCTGTGGCTCTTGGTCTGGTGAACTGAGAGGATTGACCGCTAACTTGGGCGAATGGACATGTTCCAGACCAGTGGCCTCGCATTCTGCTTGAGTAGCATTTTCAGGATTTGTCAGGCCGGGTAAAGGAAAAATAAAAAGAACGAAGAAAGGAAAAATATCGCACAAAGGAGACCACACATCAGTCATAAGAGGGTGGGTGGGTGGGCATTACTAGGCAATAAGGACAATCTCTGTGGTGACACTTAACGTGTGTGCAGCAACCTGAAGTGGCAGGAGATGTGGCTTGGGCCCTTTTATGGTGGTGTACACTCCTGATTGATTAAATGGAATGTACATCATTGGCTTTTGCTGTAATTTTCAGAAATGAACTATTTGGGGGGTTAATATACATGTAGATCAAATATTGTTAAACTGACATGTTTGAAGTTTTGTGTTCGAAAATGCTGGAAAAACCAAGAAAAACTGTAAGGAAAATTGTAAGGTGTAAGGAAACTATTCTATGGCCTGAACCCATTCATGAACATGGAACCAATAGCAAACAAAATTTGGACTTAAAAAAAAAACACGGTAAATTTGTCGCAAAATATTTTGGTTTTTCCAACAGTGGTCGGCTGACCACCCTTGGAAATGTACACAAAAGTACCATTATTCTTGGAAATGACTTCGCACCTGGTGCCATTATTTTACAGGTTGCTTTAGACTTGGTAGTTTTATTTTTCGGTGTTTGCAAATGTTGTATTTTCCCTACAGAGGATGTCATCTGAGAATGTTAAGAACGTATAACAAATGTATAACAAATGTACAGACGTTGGCTGCGCACTGTCTACGGCTCTATAAATGCATGTCTTAAGTAACGATGTTTTAATGCTTTCATTGGCCCCAAATTGTATAAATCACTGAAGAAAATCAATATAATTTAAAAAATTGGTAGATAAAGTTTTCAAGGAAAATGGGGGGGGGGGGGACAAACTGCGGGGGAAGGACAAAACTTGGGGGCAAATGCCCCTCATGCCCCCCCCCCCCCCCCCCCCCCCCCTCCCCGGTAGCACCACCACTGGCTGTGCCGCGTGCACATATGCCACATTGTGCATTGAAAAAGTAATTTGTAGTATTCTCGTACATTAAATTAGCTGGGGAAATGTGCTTATACTCCTTGGATACAGTGTTCATTTTGTTTTGGTCACCATGGCAAATGAACTTTTCGGACATATCCAACAAAAATACTTTCCAACAACTTACAGGCAGCAAATTATTTAAACTTACATATAAAAAGTATATATATCTCTTAATTAACATGTTTAATCTATCTATGGTTTGTTTACTTCTGTGGTAAATTATGTAAACAACAGTTGATCAAATAAAAATAATGAATCAAATAAAACGAACCTAATCATTGGAGTAGTATTCGCTGAAAACGGTCACAAGAAGCTGAATAGGCCTAGTTAATTTTTTAACAAAAATGGTTGAAAATGCATTAAATATACAGGCAAAAACGTTAATGATAACAGTTTCCATGGCAACCATTATTGTTAAAACTTTGAAGTTTCTTGCCTTGGGTACATATCATGACAGAAACAAGAAAGTATTCTCAAAAGTTGTAAAATTTTTATAGGTTTGTTTACGTTAACAGAAATTTTCCCGCAAAATTTAACTGATACAAGGAAATAAAATAAAAACCAGGGCCTATCTCTTGCCTAATTGCATTCACTTTTGTGGCAATCCATCAAATTACTGCCCCCCCCCCCCCCCCCCGGAGAAAAAAAGCAAAAAAAACCCCACAGTTCTGAGAAATTCCTGTCTCAACCATTGAGTGAGAAAGTCTTCGGCTAGGCCTGCAGGCTACAAATAACAAAATGTAGCTAATTTTCGGTCCACGTTTACAAACCAAAATTCTCAATTATTTCAAACCTCCAAACTCTCCTGTCACAGAATGTTTGGCCCCAGTATTTCGCAGGTATTATTTTGACAGGGTTAGGTACATCTAAGGGGTTCAAATCTCTGAAAAGTCAAACAAAAACGTGAAATTTACCAGAATTTCGCTCACCAAGATCACAGAGAACTTCGCTCTAGCATATCTAGTGCTGGCTGATCAGCTGTCTGTGAGCACAGCGCCCTCAGTTGACAGCTAACGAGACAGCAGAGTAAACTTTCTGTGAATCTTGGTGAGCGAAATTCTGGTAAATTTCTCATTTTTGTTTGACTTTCAGAAATTTGAACCCACCCTACAGGTACCTAACCATGTCAAAATAATGCCTGTGAAATACTGGAGCCAAACAATGTGTGGAAGGAGAGTTTAGAGGTTTGAAAAAATGAAAATGTTCTGCCGGTAAAGACTGTACGTAAGTACTGGCAATGGCATATTGACTCAGTATGCGAACAATGCACTTTTTATCATGATGTGTATTTTATTGTTATGGCTCAGTGGGATTTTTGTTTAATAAATAAACGACCTTTTTTTTATTAAGTCTAATTAATTAATTAAATTAAAACATTGAATTAATTAACTAATCATTAATAACTAGGCTACTTTTAAAAAATAATTACCATCTTATATGCATAGCGATTTAAGTTAAAGCATGTAAACATTAATAATGAATTATTGAGCCTGCAAATGAAATAATTGTTAAAGTAATAAATTAAATTAGTTAATTAAAATAGTAATGAGTTAATTAATTTTTTCAAATTATGCATTTTTGAAGTGTACACAGCGTTCAAAATGTTATGCAAAGTATTTTTTAAAACAATATGAATGATTGTATCATCCAATTAATTAATTGCTAAATTAATCAAATTAGTATTTTTTTAATTGATCAACTTCAGTATACTTTCCAAGCAATCACCGCTAGTCCCTCCCCTGGTCCCTTCCCCGCCCCCGCCCCCTCAAAAACTTCTCTGATAAGCACTGCTAAATCTCAATGTTTTTTTTCATTGACGCTAATTGAATTCCCCTTTTTATTTATTACTTTGTTCATTAATTTATTCCATTATTTATTAATTAATTTCTCCATGTATTTGTGTTTTGAACATTTTTTTCTTAATCAATGAAAATCCCGCCCGCAAGGTTCTCAAATTGCGATCGCCTTTGTGCAGGTTGTAATGTGCGCACGCAAATTAAAATGGCGCAGTGCAATTTGCGTGCTTCGTGAGTCCCTCGCGCAAGTTTAAACTTGCGCATGGAGTTTAAACTTGCATGCCGTGCGCAAGTTTAAACTTGCGCGGGGGACTCAAATTGCACTCGACATTGTTACAAATCCGACGGTGGTGTGGTTTATTCCGTGTACGATGCACTTCAATCAGTTTTGACCGGCTGCTTCAGCTTAGTTCTGCACGACATGTGCACCCAAAATGGGCTCTAAAAACACAATTTTTTCACATTTACACAGCTTCCTAGATTCCTCTTGGGTGAAATCACAAGGTGAGGTGAAAATTGATGTGCTTGGCGGCAGGTAAAGTAGTGATCCAGTATGGATTTTTAACCGTACGCTTATTTTCTCAACAGATGCTGCTGCCTTGAGGCCTGACTCGAGTTCTACATGCCCCACAGCCATTCTGCACGCTGGCCATCATGTATGCTTCATGCATACGGTGCGACTCGGCCAACTCCACTATGGTATGGGACGCCATTTGCATTGCCGACTATGTGAGCTGCATCCCACATCTTGGCTTCGTCTTCCTGTCATCCGTCCTCCTCCTTGTGTACGGATGTCTTCCCGGACTGAGACGGACCAAGACACCCTACACCCTCCACTCCACCTTCCACCATCTCCGCTGGCTCCTGCTGTCCTGCCTCGTCCTCGCTAACATCCTCTTCATCTTAGAAGGCATCCTGTCAGACTTGAAGTCGCCGAGCGCACTGTCCCAACCCAACCTGTACCTCCCGTCCGTTTGCGGATGCGTCGCCGCGGTGATGATGGGCGTGTACTTTCACCACATGGAGGCGTGGCTACGGCCAGGCTTCGGATGGCTGATGCTGCCTTACTGGCTGCTCGCTTTGATGGGAGAAAGTTACAGACTGGCTAGCTGGATCGCAGATGTCTCCCTAGTGGATGCTAGGATTGTACGCTTTGACGCGATGATCGCTATGATTGTATTTTATTCCGTCTTTGTTCTACTGGAGGTTTTAACTTTACTGGCTAAGGTAACAGCACGCCAGATCAGGGAAGTGACAACGTTTAGTCACAGCATTATCTTTGTTTGTTGAAGGAGGAACTCAAGTGAGTTGAGTTGCTCTCCGCAGTGACCAGTGAGCAATTTGAGATTGAGTCATTTGGAAATTGATTCAATTCAAGTAGGAATTGAGTTGGAAGATCTGTGACTTCAAACTGGGACCTCGAGTGCAGAAAAACTTGGCGAACTAATTCAGGCCAGTTTTACTCGCACTTTAGCTGACGAAATTCTCAAAAAAAAAGTTCATTAGGCAAAGACAAGGTCCTCAGTATTTCACCAGTTTGAAGTTTGAAGTCTCAATTCAGTTTTCAAAGGAGACTTTTCGTTAAAGTGAAGCCAAGTTATTTCAGTTTGAAGCCTAAGACTAGACTGGTACATGTCCAACTGTTGAGATTGACCCTTGATTCAGTGGTCTGGTGGCAGACTATGGAGAGATGTGTGGAAATAGACCTGTATCGTTTGGTTTTTTTTGACACAGTTTGATTCATCCAGTACTAAATGGATGTTGGACTAGTTGTTTCATGTGCCAGTCTATTTACTTGTGTTGCATGTTTTCAATACATGTTTTTGGGACTCTCATACGCAGCATTGAGAGTCCCAAATTTGTGGACTATGTGACTTGCGTTCTTCGAGGAATTGATTGTTTACTCGTAAGTTCCTAATAGGCTTGGTTGCTGGCACAATCAGATCTCCTGTTTGGTTTCTTGGGTCACCAGTGAATCCCTTTGCAGTGTCCTATTTTTGCTCATAGGTTTTGGGGCATATCGGTCAGATGGAAAGCAGTTTGCCAGAGGATCTGCAAAATTCTTCTATGAAATACTACATGAGGTAATTGTGACTCAAAAACAAACTACATTTGTTTGTTACTATTTAGCCTCAAATCTTGAGTGGCTGAGAACCCTGATTTAACCCTAATAGTGAGGTACATTAGTAACAAAAATGCTAAGGATCGTTACACGGTGGACAAAAGCACCATTTTTTCACCAAAGCATCTCCATGGTATACCTTTTCGAAAAAAAGACGGACGCAAAAAATTGGATGATGGAAAGGGCATGTATGACGTCATTATGACGTCATCAGCTAATTATTACATGAAAAAATATAAATTAATAATAATCTTCAGAACTGCAAGCATCTCAACAACAAATTTGGTATCAAATTAAAGGGGACAATAAGATCTTTCATTTGAGGGGTATGTCATTGGGATGGAATATAGTTGAGGGTGATTTTGTGGGTCAAAAAAAACTTTTTGGTCAAAAGACCTGTTTTTTCGGCTAAAATCATGGATTTTGGGTAGTCACTTTGACACCTTGTTTTAACATGCAAACAGTATGTGGTATTGTGAGATGTTGTTTTTAAGTCAGAGAGAAAGGCTCAAATTCTATGCCAAAAGAGTTTTTGTAATTGATTATTAGTATCTTAAATGTTTAAACTTGTTCCAAAGATAAGCGGAAAAGTGAGGTACCTTAGTGATAAAATCGAGACACGGGTGGACAAAAGCACCATTTTCACACCAAAGCATCTCCATTGTTTACCTTTTCGAAAACAAGGTAGGATACAAAAATTGGATGATGGGAAGGGCCATTTATTACATCATTATGACGTCATCGGCTAATTATTACACACTTATACATTAAAATTGAGATATTAGTTAGGAATAAGCCATGGACCGTTTTTTTACATTTAATATACGTTTCTGAGATCAAGGAAATCAGTGCAGTTGCCAATTTTGTTCTTAGTTCTTTAAAAGATTTAAATACAAATAGTTTGATAAAATGAGGGATGTTTTCTAATTTAATGTATTAAATTAAACATGTATGTACATGTACATTTGACCCTCGCTCCTATCCCCTGTTGTGATCAATGATTCGTTAAAATGCAATGTCTTACGTCATGATTATCTCATAAATGATTACCTCAGGAATGATGCCACGAGGCATTATTTTCCACAAAAGTTTCTACTGTCCCTTCGGCTCCGTATTCTACATCAACTGGCAATGCATTTATTGCCCTAAACCCTTCAACATTAGCCAGGAATTGAGCATATACTTCTCCGGCGTTACAATTTAAACCTTTTTGTGGACAACATAGTTTTTCTGGTGTAGTTTGCATGTAGATAATGCAAGCAGTCCAATCCATGATGACTGTCCTGAAATACGATAGTAACAGTTCACATAAGTAATAAAAAGGTAGAATGTTCAAACCAATTATACCAAAATCACCCTTAACTATATTCCCTCCCCATGACATACCACTCAAATGAAAGACCTTGCTGTCCCCTTTAATTTGATACCACATTTTTTGTTGTAATGCTTGTAGTTCTGAAGATTATTATCAATTTATATTTTTTTCATTTAATAATTAGCTGATGACGTCATAATGACGTCATACATGCCCTTCCCATCACCCAATTTTTTGCGTCCGTCTTTTTTTCGAAAAGGTATACCATGGAGATGCTTTGGTGAAAAAAATGTGCTTTTATCCAATGTGTCACGATTTTTTTCACTAAGGTACCTCACTATAACCACCCCAACTCCATCAAAATCCATCCCGACATTTTGGTGGATTTTGGGGGACTTGGTCCAGAAGGCCTGGCATGACTAAATATTGATGGAATATGATGGATTTGGGCCTAATGGCCTGAAGCAGTGCTAGGGGTATCCGATTGATTTTGCCTAGCTTCCTGTACTGCTATTGTGATAAAAGCCATGTGGAGCAAGTCCATGAATGTCAACCAGTGCGTCAGTGGTGGATTCCATAATACAGTTTTGTATTGGACGCACAGAGATTGATGGATTTTGATGGAATTTGTCCAGTTCCTAGTAAAAGATGCTAGGGAGTTAGGGCTAAAAAAAGAACACCCCCCCCCCAAAAAAAAGGCTTCATTGCATATTCATGTCTGGTACATGTAAGTCATGACTCACAGAAGGAAATTTTACTTATGATTTTACAAAAAGAGAGGAAATTTGTGTACAATGAAAAAAAAAAATTTCCATAGTTTATATGAAAAATATCACAATTAAAATTTGTTTTAAACGATTTGTACATACAGGTAAAGTGTGTAGGGAACCGAGTGGTTAACCTTTGCCATATCAAAATAATTCAACATTTGTAAAGATTCACGAGTAGTGATTTAAATAGAAAACCAAAAAAAAAACAAGAACACCCCTTCCCCCCCCCCCAAAAGCTTCATTGCATTCATGTTCGGTAAGTCATGACTTTTTTTTTCTTGTTGTTAGATTCGTGAGTTTGCCTTCGCTGGTGGTATTTAAGTGGCTGGGATGGCTGATGAAGTTAGGTTACCAACGCCCTCTGGAAATCAGTGACCTAGGAGACTTGCCCAGAATGAGTACCTCCCGCCGGAACAGGAATATCTTTGAGAGATGCCTGCAACAAGAAAAGGTAAATATTTAATTTGGGGGAGGGGGGATAATTTGTAGAACACACTTCATTTTTAGAGCCCACTTAATAAGCCATTTGCAAGTGACCTATACCCTTTGGGATTTAAATTTGAAAAACATCTGGTACACTGACTTGCTCAGAATGCTTGGCACGTTTTTAACCAAAGACACTGTTGCTAATCACATGATTCGGGGCAAGCTCTTGCGTAGTTACATGTACATAAGAGACGCTCAGCATCAATACATTGTTTAAATGGGTGAGAATGGCACAAAGACACCAGACCATGCCAGAGCTGGGGGTTGCTAGCATAAGGCAATCACGTGATATAGTAACAGTCTCTTTGGTCGGGAGAATGCGAAGTTAAAACGTGCAAAGCATTGGCTTAAGTCAGCGTTCCAGATTTTATTCAACTTTAACTTGCAGATGCCTTATTTTGAGAACCCACTTGAACAGCATGGTAACATTTTGTCTTGCAAAAAAAATAAACAAATGAAAAATAAATTACTCACGGTACCCCTTGCTTGATCAGACTCGAACCAGCCTGCTGATCACTGTGAGCTCGGTGGTCGAGTGGTAATATATCTGCAGGTAAGGAAGAGCTTGTGGTTCGAGTCTCACCCGTGTAAGCTTGCGATCTTTTTTTCGGACAACACTGATGTGCGTTCTGTCCTATAAATCGTCACCGTTTTCACGAAGGGACGGGCATGTCAAAATTGACAATTTTTTCGATTTTGAGTTTTTTTGCTATTTTGCTATAAAACATGGTACTTGAGCATTCTGACATGTTTCCGTAAGCCAAACATCATTTATTCCTGAATAACATTAATGACATCAGTGGCAGGCATCTCGATAATTGCATTTTGCGATTTCACGAAGAGACGCGAACATGCCTGCCCCCGTGAACACGTGCAAATCATATTGCACGGAAAGGCGGTGAAAGTAGGTCAATGGAGATTTTCGTTTTCACGATGGGACGGACATCTTTGATACATTCTCAGCTGTGCGCGTAATCGAACACGCGCGCCCTTCCCTATGGAAATCACGTTAAACAAGAAGGGCTTACTTAAATGTGGAACAGTTGGATTTTCGTTTTCACGAAGGGACGGGCATCTTTACTAACTAATTTTGGCTAATTAACCACTGTATTAATTATATTTACTGGGTTCAAATTAAAGTTGAATTACGTCAAGGTTTTCTTATTGCATAAAATTGTTGCAAAGAAGTAGTTTTTGCTGTTTTAAAAACGGAGAAACTTCTTTTGCGATTATCTCGAAAACTGTTTTTCTTCTAAATCCACATGCACGTCCCTCGTGAAACCGGTGACGAAATAACGTGGTCAGTGCACAACTACACTGTAGATTTATTGGATGAATTCTTTTCTATAGGACAGAGCAGCAAAGCTCGGTGACGTCAACCAATTTTCCCTGTACCGCGTCATGGCAAAGGCCTACATCAAGTGGCAGAGCCTAGCTGTAGTAATGAAAGTGGTAGCAGATTCCTTAAACTTTGTGCCACCGCTCACCATCAACGGAATTGTCACGTATGCCAGTGACGTGTATTATGGAACACAAGAAACAGACACCATGGTACGTTATTTCAATTATTTTCCACCTGTAAAATTTCCTGGGATGTAGCCTCAATCCTGCAAAATCCTCCAATTGGCCTCATGACAAAATAGCATATAGTCTCAATCCTGCAAATTCCTCCATTATTATGGAGGAATTGCAAAACTGCAAAATCCTGCGGCAGTGACTGTCAATATGTTGAGGCTTGGCCAGTGACATCCTGGAGCAGTACGGAGGATTTCAAGCATAAACCAGGCCTATATTAATGTATGGCTGAGCAAAAAACAACACAAGGTCCGGCCCAAGACCTTGACAAAGTGCATCCTACGAAATCAGTAATCCTCCAAATTCCTCCACTTTGGCAAAGAGGATTTTAAAGGATTCAGGGCAGTAAGGGTTAATTATTAAGAAATTATTCACTTTTGAATGGGACATCCCCCAACAACAACAAAAAATCCACATTTAGTTATGGAATGATTGCTTTGAATTATTCGTGGATGCAAATACATGATGCCATTGAGATTTGACTCCAGCCGGTAACCACAACAAATCCTGGCTCTCAGCTAGCCTGATCGCTAATGCTGGTTCAAATGCAGCTAGCACACACCGGCTGTCCAATCGCTGGCTCCTAGGGGTGGCCACGTGACCGCACTGGAAAGCACACCTGGCTTTTTTATTTAGCCCGATCGCTACCGTGGCTGGCCCAGCCAGGTTAGCTGCAGCTTATTTCAGGGAGATCTTTTTTCTGTTAGAGGCACAAAAGCAACCCAACATGACAAGAAAAGCACAGTAAAGCTGGTCCCAGAGTGTACAAAATCCTGTTCCATTGATCCAGGAGGGCTACGCACTGAAAGTCTTTGCATGTGTGTGGCCTACACAATGGTCCCGTTTTAGCATAGTCATCAGCATAACAGGGAAATCCTATTTCGAAAAATGTTGGGCCAAGATGAGACTCTAGCATGTCTTATTCACATGTCTTATTGCATAACGCGCATCGGCTGCATCGTATTGCGATCACATTTTGAGCAACAAGCGCGTGTGTTTGGAACATTTTCAACACTGCGCAATGCGTGCTTGATTGCGTAAAATACGCAGTTGCAGTTCTCATACAGAGATGGCAGTCTTTGAGAGAGACCTTTAGGTGGCACCTGTAGTACCATCCCCAAAAAGTGCCTTTTTTCCCGAGGGTTACAGAAATTCAAAATAGAACAAGGCTGGGGGTTTTTGTATTTTTTTATTTTTTTAACTTAGGAGAAAAGAAACTTGCATTTGTTGAGCAGCTAATCTCTTTACATTGCAGTTTCCAGAGTATGTGACGGTCAGCGAGTACTTCGGCAACGGTTTCGTGCTCATGACCATCATCTTCCTGGCCAGCGTTACCCGCATTGTCATCCTGCAGAGCTACTACCATGTGACCATCGTGGCCAGCATCCATCTCAGAGCCGGCCTGCAGGTCAGGGGTCAAGGGGCAGCTAGGGGTCATTCTCTTAACTAGCCAACATTATGATGTGAAGATTGCGTGGCATTTTGTATGGAGTTAGTGTACAGCTTAGAATACAGATAATGAATGTTTATGAGTGCAGTGGTGAGAATATTTGCATGAGTCGAAAGATAAAATGTTCCATTCAACGAGGCGACGCCAAGTTTTGTATTTCTGTATAAAGCATATAAAGCATTGCCGACCCGACGTTCACACAAAGATGCTATGGTTTTGGGCACATTCAGAAGTCGCGTGCACTTCGCGCTATAAGCACGTGATCCAGTGAATGCGTAATTGTGTCCCGTCTATGCGGGGCTCTGGAAAGTGGAAAAAAAATCTTGTCTTGTTCGCGCTGGAGCCCACTCAGTTTAAGTAGTGTCAGAATCAAGATAATTTGGATAAAGCTTTGGTTTTGTCATTGATGTGCAACAGTTGAAGACATTAGTGTGGACCTGGACTTACAGTCACTTTTTCAGTTCTATGTTCAATCCTGCTTTTCAATCGATCCCTCTCAGAGGACGCCATCTTCGCAAGAAAGTTACAACTATGTGTTCAACGCCATCAGGTGCGTGTGTGCGCAGTGTGCAAAATGTTCTAAACATGTGCGCGTGTTGCTCGCATTTTCTTCAAAATACGGCACAGCCGATGATATGGTCCTGAAAATTTGACGCCCAAAATGCGATGCATGTAGGAAGTGACATCATTTGAGAGAGACCTATACCACAATACATAACAGCTGTTTATGTCAAGATATAGTACAAACAGTTGATCAAAATATGTCCCTTGTGTCCATCTACATCTCGGCTGCAATCAACAAAGTCTTTTGTCTCTCTAAAGAGATGCTTCCTTCGTAAATGTTTTGACAAACTCTCGGAGGTATTCACAAGTTTTTGGTTTTTTGTTTTGCAACTCCAGGTAGCCGTATATGACAAAACCCTCCGTCTGTCAAGTTACACACTGACCAGTGGGGAGATGACCACGGGCCAGATTACTAACTTTATGTCCGTCGATGCCGATAACATTAAGACCATGTATGAGTTTGTGCACTACGCCTACTCTGTACCTCTCCAGGTGAGGTGTTACCAGTGTTGTCGTTGATGCCTTCACATGTCTGGTCTCAATTAAGTCCGGCCACAAGTAAATCACAAGTCTCTTCACAAGTTTAGTCAGAGGTACCCGGGGATGAACGATGACAACGGAGTGCCTTTGTCAGCCCTCCTTTGTCACAGTGTATTTCAATGACCTGTGACTTGACTTGAGACGGGATGACTTGTGATGAATTTGCGATGGACTTGGCTTTAACACTCAGTGGTGGATCCAGGGGAGGGAGTAAGGGTCGTCTGCCCCCCGGCAGTGACCTGAAGTTTCTCACTGGCAAATAGGGCCATTTGTCACTTGAGAGAGCCCTTCTGCTTGATATGGATAGGATTGATATGATCCAATTGATATGATAATACATGATCTTCATTTTATTTTGTGCGCGTCAAATCACGTGATCCTTCCTTAGGAAGTGCCTAATAATTTGAAATTGGAAACAGATGTGAACTTGCTTTCAACGATGTTAGTCTCTGCCAATGTTGAACTTCACAAAAAAATTATCGGTGACATCATGAGATGTTCGATCACCCTCTAGCAGCAGGTTACAAAATGTTAAAAACGCATTTTCCATTGATGTGTGTGGCGAAATTTGTGGTACTCACTTCAAAATTAATATGATGAGTTTTTTTGATGACCTTAATGCAGCAGCATAGGTGTGCATACATGCTGAGACCAGAAAATTAATCTTTGAAAATCAATATCAAATCAATTGTGAGAGATCTGATTTTGCTTTTTACGGGCATCGACTTGCCTTTGACAATTCTCTGTCATTCTAGACTGTCAGTGTCTTTAGCAAACGTTTGATAACTTTCTTGCCACCAACTCAAACAGATAGCCCAACACCGTGTGGTTGTTCCTACAACCTCTAGTTGACATTTAAATCTCAGCTTTAAAGCTGATTTCAGCTTTTTTTGTTCTGACTTTTCTCCCTCACTCGCTGTGTACTAAAGTACAGGTCATTTCCAAAGTTCAGCTTTGTTACACAGTTTTCAGCTGTTTTCAGCTATTTTTATCACAATAATAATAATAACGGAGTCTTATATAGTGCACATATCTACCAACAATTAGGTACTCAAGGCGCTGGAAATTATGTCCATTATTAAAGAAAGGTAAATAAAGTATATGAGAAATATGAGACCCATTATGTAGCACCTTATAATGGTTGACAAGGTGCTGCGGCGCATATTGCAGCCACTGCCAGAAACACCGGGGCAAACCCCTTAGCGATAAGTGTTACTGGGTTCTTTAATGTGCATTACACAAGACCTACAGCCTTACGTCCCATCCGAAGGACGAAGCAATAATGGTAAAGTGCCTTGCTCAAGAGCACAAGTACCATGTTCCCCTGGTCAGGATTCGAACCCATGTACCACGGCACACAAATCGAACACCGTAACCATTGGACCCCAGCACCCCACGTCACTCACATCAGTCGTCACTCACACCCCTGATTAATAAAAGCATGCAGTAGGCAAGAGGTTAACACAGTTTCAAATTCTATATTTGTATTGAATTCAAACGTGAAAAAGTAATCTATTTTTCGGGGTAAAACTGGAAAATAGCATGGACATTAAAGCGTTATTCTCTTTGTTTTTCCTGCAGATCGTTGTCTTGCTTGTCATGTTGTATCTCAACCTGGGCGTGGCCGCGTTGGTGGCGTCCTGTTGTTTCATCATCGGGGCTCCCATTCAATACAAACTGGCCAAGATACAGGCCGTTGTGAAGAAACACGCCCTGGTGAGTTGCTAAATTATTCATGTTTCAACCAGACGGCATTCATTTTCCTCAACTCTCAATGGTTAAGTTTTGACATAGGGACGATACTGTGATATGTGCGCTCCAGGTTGTATGTGCATGGTGAGATGTAGTCGCATGATCCATGTTTAATTGTGATGTGCTCAATCTTAAGAGGAACATAAATGAGCATGGGCGCATGGATAGACCTAGCATGGTCAAAATATAGGCCACACATGGTTCATTTTGAATATAAGGGAATATACAACATTTGCAAACATCGAAAATACAACTACCAAGTTTTAACAAAATATCTCACTAGGATGTTGGTAAATGACAGTCTAAAGCACCCTGTAAAATTATGGCACCTGGTGTGAAGTCATTTTCAAGAAAATGGTATTTTTGTGTAATTTCCGACGGTGGTCGGGCGACCACCGTTTGTGTGTTTCTTGGTTTTTCCAGCATTTTCAAACACAAAACTTCAAACATGTCAGTGTAACAATGTTTGATCTATTAGTAACCCCTCAAATGGTTCATTTCTGAAAATTACAGCAAAAGCCAATGATGTATATTCCCTTTAACTATTGTTGGCGAGCTGCGAAGCAGATGCGAGCCTATGTAATACCAATTTCCGTCCGTCTGTCCGGGCGCCCGTCCGTCCGTCCGTCCGTCCGTCCGTCCGTCCGTCCGTCCGTCCGTCCGTCCGTCCGTCCGGCCGTCCGCGTTCAGATAAAAATGTTTAAGTTTTTGGTTCTAGCTAACTTGGGGAAAAAAATTAAATGCAGTTGTCATGTATCATCTTTATAACTTCAGTTAGGTTCATATCATTGCAGTAAATTTTATGATTTATTGAGGAACTTTAATTCAAGGAAATGTTAAAGTTTTTAATTGTTACATGTACATGTATACTGGTATAACATGTACTGTACTCGTGTGTATACCGGTATAACATGTACATGTACACTTTGCATTTTGGGGATGTGCATGAGCTTCTGGTTTGATCTTTTAGTTTATTGGGTTGGAGTAGGGATGGGGTAGGGGAGGGTGGGGTGGGGTGGGTTGGGGGATAGGGTTGGAGTTAGGGTTTGTGTGAGTAGGATGAGTAGGGGAGCTAGGATGGGTGGGGTGGGGTGGGGAGAGGGGTTGGAATACTGGGTTTGGGTAGGGTGGGGATTTGTAGGGGTGGGGTGGGAACAGGTAGGGAGAGACAGGTAGGGGGAGACAGGTAGGGAGAGGATGGGCATGGATGTAGGGGTTGGGTTAGGAGGGGGTTGGGCAGGGGGCGGGATATAGGATCGGAGTAGGGGTTGGGTTGGGGATGTGTAGGGATGGGTAGGGGTGGGTTGTTGTAGGGGTTGGATAAGGGGAGGGGGCAGTATGTAGGGGTTGCATGGGGTCAGGTGGGGATGTATGGGTGGGGGGATGGGGTGGGCGGGATATTGGAATTCGAGTAAGGGTTAGGGTGGGGATGTGTAGGGTGGGTAAGGACAGATAAGGGAAGATAGGGTAGGTGGGTGTAGGGGGTTGGGGTAGGGGAGGGTACGGGTCAGGGGAGGGGGAAGGAGATAGGGATTGGAGTTTGGGTGGGGTTGGGATGTGTAGGTGATAGGGTGGGGATGGTTAGGGGAGGATGGAATGGGTGTGGGTAGGGGGTTGGGTGGGGGAGGGGGTAAGGTTTTGGGATGGGGTAAGGTTTGGGGAGGTGGTGATGGTGCTGTGTCTACATGTACATGTATGTACCCATTCTTGTTCTGCATTTGTGGCGACTACACAAGAGTTTTCCCATGGTAATACAAGTATGGGGAGCAGAAGACACTGTTGGGGCTGCAAAAATCCACAACTGGGTCCTAATTACCCTAACAATGGAAAACTCCCCCATAATACAGTGACGGCTAACCTATATACACATGTATTTATTAGGTAATCTGTTAACTTTTTATGTTGACATTTAAAAACTGACCCCTACACCTAGGCACATCAACAAGAATCCTGATCCCCTTCCATCATGCCCATCCCCAACCCTACCTTCAGCCTCCCTTCCTGCCTTGGACAGCGAGCCATGGCGGCTTCGCCGTTCTAGTTTTACTTATAATGGGATTGTTTATTCAGTAAAGTTTGAATGTACATGTGTAATTGGATCTGAGTTGATAAATACCCCATTTCTTCATTATGAAATCCCTATATATTCAAACAAAACAATTTTATACCACAAATGGTATCAGATATTCAAAGCAAAAACTTCTTTCTTTTCTTAAGTCCATGAGGGCATCTTTTATTAATTTTTTTGATGATCAGCTTTTTTTAGCTTTTTTTAAAAAATTGTTACCATATTCCAGAAAATTTCCGATGAGCGCCTGAAGCAGACACACGAGATGCTACAAGGAATGAAGCTCATCAAGTTGTACGGCTGGGAGAAGATCTTCTATGACGTCATCTCTCTCGTCCGTGGAAGGGAAATCCAACAGCTGACAAAAGCCGCAGTACTGTACTCACTGTCAAGTACGTTTTCAATTTCTTTCTTTATGGGAATAAGCATTGAAGTGCTGAAGGCCACTTAAGGTAAATAAGGTATAAAACCAGATTGGCACATGTGTCGCTTGAACCTGTGCCTCAAAAGCACACCTGAGCAGTGCAGTACAGGGTGAGTAAAAAAAAACGAAACCCAAATGTCGGGACCATTGTTTTAGTGAAGTTCTGAATGTAGCACTTTTAAAATCTAGGATATGAAAGCACAATTCATAAGCTTTCTTTTCATACAAGAATCATTCAAATCACTCATGTACTTTTCAAGTTACGGAATTTTAAACACATCCACCGTTTTAAAGTTCTGTCCACGGATCACACAAAAGGTGCGGTTCTTTCAGCAAAACGAAAACAATTCACACACTATGTGATTTGTTCTCATTTTGCTGAAAGAACACTTACCGTTTTGTGATCCGTGGACAGAACTTTAAAACGGTGGTTGTGTGTAAAATTCCATTACTTGAAAAGTACTTGAGTGATTTGAATGATTCTTGTACTAAAAGAAAGCTTATGAATTGGGCTTTTATATCCTAGATTTTGAAAGTGCTACATACAGAACTTCACTAAAAACAATAGTCCCGACATTTGGGTTTCTTGGGTTTTTTTAAATCACCCTGTACAGGCATACATGATCTAATCTGAAAGTATTTACAAGGGATTCACCAGATGGAATGTTGTGTCCGGGGTGATGTAAATCAATATCAGGTTTTTGCCCTCTACCGACGTATAAAAACAACCTAATATTGATTTACATCACCCCAACGCAAATTCCATCTTGTGAATAGCTTAATTGCGGTACCCGCTGCTACATGTACATCAGATCTGAACCAGCCAACCGATCCTGCAAGCTCAGTGGTCTGCGCACGGGTACGTCCTGTAACTGAGGATTCTGTGCTTACAGCATTAGCACAGAATTTTTCTGCTAGCGCTGTTAGCTTAAAATGGTGATCGGCAGCAGAGCCATGTGATTGGGCCCTGGTCTTTTCAAGATTGATGTGGATGGATTCATTCCTAGTTCTTTGCGATTGATAAATTGATGATTTTTCCTTTACTCTTCCAGATTTCATGGCCTTTACAACACCAGCTATTGTCACACTCCTGGTAAGTGTTTTTTCCTAACAGTGATGTGGGTAATGAAAAAAAAACAATTTGATCAGGTTAGCAGCAATTTTTGGAATAATTTTTTTGGGGGGCCATGCTAAACCCCTCGTTGAGAAAATGAGGTTTCAAAATCAAAACTGTCCTTGTCTCCTGAGTCAGCGATTGTTCAGTGTAACTATTTTAGCCATTTCTTTCTTTTTGTTGTTGTCTTGTAGGGTTTTGTCTTGTATTCAAGTTTCACTGGCTTGCAGTTGACACCGGCAGTAGCATTCACCACACTGGCCATTATTAATCAGATGCGGCTGCCTGTACAAAGTAAGTGGAGGTTTCCTGTAAAGTTATCTCACATCAGTATCACACTGTTTTTCAGAAACGTTATAGATTTTCTCTAATTAAGTGTAAACCCACCTGAAACTACAATCCTATATAAAAAGATCCTATGGTGTCTGATGTCTGTCGGTCAGTCTGTCTGATGTCTGTCTGTCTGTGTGTCACGTCTTTTTGTAAAAGGCCTATGGAGTGTGCGGAAACACAAAATGCAATTGTTTATGGAGAGGCATAGTTGTATCGTAAAGCTCCATGGTTGTATATATTATATGCTCTGATTTCACTGTCCTCTGAAGTCACGGTTGGCACATTGTTTGCCTTTTTTTGACAAATTTGTTTCGTTTAGACTTTGACTAATTACATATTTCAGTATTATCTCTATGAAAACACTCCAAAATGTATCGCTATGACGCAAACATAACGTTGATGACGAAAAATGTGCCAAAATACCCTTTAACTGTCCACATTCAAGAAAAAATGGAAGATTTTGCAGGATTGAGGCTGTATCCATTTTTTACATGGAGGCAGTCGGAGGATTTTGCAGGATTGAGGTTGCAACCTAGCAAAAATGCCTGGGACGTTAGGGTTAATGTAGTCATCCTTCAAGAGTGATTATGAATAGCAAAGTACTTACCCAACAAATAACAAAATCATTAGGAGTCATTCTTAATGAGTGGCGAATTACAAAGTACCAAGGTAACATACAGGGACAGGAAAAATGCCAAACATTGGACCCTAAATTACAGAATGGCCCATAACACAATACAATACGCACAATGAAAATGGACATGGATTTTCGGCCTTAAAGTTAATGCACATTGTTAAGTGGTGTAACAAATCAAAAATCAAGTTGTGGAAGGGAACCCCATTCGTGACGCTTTCAAATATAATATTTGACAGTGATACCAGAAGTCACCAACTTTGCTGTCAGCGCCCACGTCAGCGTCCAGCGAATCAAGCACTTCTTCCTGGCCGAGGAGATAGAGACCAGTGAGGATACACCAATGCATGCAGCACAGAAAGAGGAAGGGGACCAGCTAAGCATGAAGTACACGAAACTGAAGGACTCTAAGACTGAAATCAATGGCGAACTGAATTCAAGTTTTGACACCGATGATGTGAGTTAATTTTGTTTGTTTGGGGGGGTACCCTTTCATGAATTTATGTATTTATTTTATGTGTACGGCACAGTACAGGGTGAGTAAAACAAAACGCATCCCAAATGGCAGGACCAATTTTTGGATGAAGTTTTTCCTGTAACACTTTGAACATCTAGGATATGAAAGCCATTCAATGAGCTTTCTTTTAGTACAAGAATCATTCAAATCACTCATGTACTTTTCAAGTTACAGCATTTTGAACACAAACACAGTTTGAAAGCTCTGTCCACGGATTACAGAAAAGGTATGAGTTATTTCAGCGAAACCAAAACAATTCACACACATCCCTATGAGAATAGTTTTTGTTTTGCTGAAAGGACAATTACTGAGTGTATATGACACTGTACAGGGTGAATAAAAAAACACGAAGCCCAAATGTCAGGACTATGGTTTCAGTGAAGTTCTGCATGTAGCACTTTCAAAATCTAGGATATAAAAGCCCAATTCATAAGCTTTTTTTAGTACAAGAATCATTCAAATCACTCAAGTACTTTTCAAGTCATGGATTTTTAAGCACAACCTCCGTTTTAAAGTTCTTTTATGGATCACACAAAAGGTGTTGTTCAGGAGATATAGGCCTTCAAAATATGTTTATTTTATATGACGTCATATGTTTCGGCTGGTTGCCGAAACAGCCAACAATTCACACACATCCCTATGTGATTTGTTTTTGTTTTGCTGAAAGAACACTTACCGTTTTGTGATCCGTGGACAGAACTTTAAAGCGATGGTTGTGTTTAAAAGTCCTTAACTTGAAAAGTACATGTACATGAGTGATTTGAATGATTCTTGTACTAAAAGAAAGCTCATGAATTGGGCTTTCATATCCTAGATTTTGAAAGTGCTACATGCAGAACTTCACTAAAACAATGGTCCCAACATTTGGGTTTTGTTTTTTTGACTCACTCTGTATGACACTGTATTTTGCAAATGGCTAGTCATCAGTTGATTGTTGTTTTGCAAGGTAAATTTGTTGCTGTGTGCAATATTTTCCGGAGTTCATGCACAAATAGGTGTATTCTGTAAGAACATGAACAGAAGACATTTTACAGGTTGGTTTCTCTCTAATATTTCCATCATGTCATTTGCATTCCAGCCCTCCGATGTTCAGGTGCAGGTTGTCCAACCTGGAGACTACAATCAAGTCCGCGTCAATGAAAGTCCTACCTCCGTTCCTCACTTACCAGAAGATATAGCAGTAAAGGTACTACTCTATACACTTATATCCCCAGAAACAAAAGAGACATCCAATGTTATTATTATTATTAACCCTAACTCCCTAGGCATTTTTGCTAGGATGTAACCTCAATCCTGCGAAATCCTCCAATTGGCCTCACGGAAAAATAGCATATAGCCTCAATCCTGCGAAATCCTCCATTATTTCTTGAATGTGGTTCTTGGAGGGGTGACCACTGCCTGAATCCTGCAAAATCCTGCAATATGTTGAGGCTTGGTCAGTGACATCCTGGGGCAGTATGGAGGATTTCAAACATAATCAAGGACTAAATTTACTCATGTCTGAGCACAAGGTCCGGCCCGAGACCTTGACACAGTGCGTCCACCGAAATCAGTAACGCACTTTTTCCATGTAACCTCAATCCTGCAAATTCCTCCAATTTGCAAAAAGTATTTTGGAGGATTTGGGATGGTTAGGGTTAATATCAGGCTGACTTGACCTGATCTTGAGCTAATCTGAAAGAAATCAATTTCATGTCGCTGTTATGTAAAAATCGCTGACCGCTTTTTCAGTACCTTAATGTTAACCCAAACAAAATAGACGCCAGTGAAATCTTTTACAGCGTCTCAAAATCCATGAGTACCTTAACGTTAACTCAAACAAAATAAACGCTAGTGAAAACTTTTCCAGCATCTCAAAATACATCAGTAGCTTCTTCTCGGGCAGAGAGGCTCACTGAATACTTACTAGTGTCATCTTGGCTGCTTTCCAGGTATTTTCGGCATCTTTACTTCTCAAATTTTTGTTGAATTCTTCATTAACTGAAGCGAATTTCGTGCCGCTCAAAGCTGCCCTGTTTGTTGACAAAACAGTACCGAATGCACGTGCGCGACCGCTACACTTTATTCACTGGTTTAAAGCTACAGTCCATCATTTGTAATTTGTGCATTTTGTTCGTTTGAAGCAACAAAAGAGTTCAAAATCTAATGAAGGATACTGAGCAACTAACCTGATGAAGTTTCAGCTAAGCTTCAGCTGTACATTCCGAGAAAAACAGCATTCTAAGATCTCAATTTCAAATCAAAAGTTACTGAATCATGTTTTGAATTGTTTTGAATTGCAGCTATACGCGACGTCGCGCACTGATCCGACGAATTACAACAACCGCGCGCGCGTGTGCGTCGTTCCAATACTTGTGCGCGCTGCGCTGAATAACAAACGAACTACTAATTTAAATTTTCCTACGGTGCTTCTTAAGAATCACCGTTGGAAATGCCTTCTTTCGTTGATTACTTCAAAATGACAGCTTCCCACAAAGAATAATTTCACAGGGAGTTTAGTTCCCTTACTATCTTTCAACCAAGTTTGTTTTTCAACAATAATTACGCCAGTTACTTTTCGGATGGCTGCAAATGATGGACTATAGCTTTAACAACTGTGAGTTTCTACACTCTTGGCTGAGCGGGAACCGGCAAAATTTGTTAAAATGATGAAGATACGGCTGAGGACGCAGATGAGGACAATATCAAAAATAATATCGTCCTCATCCAGGTCTTTTTACTGACATAATATTGATGTCACCTGGGTCCTTTTTACAAATGCTTACAATACGCCGATTTATTTTTACCACTGGAAGCGTGATAAATAATAACAACATATATATGATGAAACAATATTTGTAATTGGAGCAAAATATTATATGGAGCAGTCCTTACCCCCCCCCCCCCCACCTGATAATAAGCCAGTTTGATATTCCAAGTGCACCTTAGATACCCAACATTTTATTATTTTAGAAGCAGCTCATGAGAACAACTATGACTAGATGTAAAATCTGTAGTTTTTCATTTAATGATTAAGATACAAAAATATAGACTTAAAGTTGAAGCTAAAAATTATATGTTGCAGTCTAAAGCTTTTAGAAGTTTGTACTTCACAATAAAACCCTTTGTCAAATTTAGTTTTTGATTTTGCACATTTATTACAAACTGTTCATCCAAAAACAATGTCAATTAACCCTAACCCCTTGAGCACTTTTACTAGAAAGTATCCTGAATCCGCCAAACTCCACCAATTTTGTCATGCAAAAAAATGTTGGTGTCCTGAGTCCGTCAGAATCCACCAGTGAGTCCATCAGAATCCACCAGTGTAGCACATATACCTCGCACACACCAAACACATAACCATGGAGTTAAACTGTTGAGATCCTGAATCCATCAAAGTCCCCCAACTGCTCAACATGGAGGTATCCTGAATCCATCAAAATCCTGCAGTACCGATAGGCTTACTGTCCTGAATCCATCAAAGTCCCCCAAGCTAAAGTTGCTTAGTGTCCAACGGCTTGTGGCTAAGTTTTCTTTGTTTGTTGCAGTAATATCAAAATGAAACCTGCCCCAGACAAGCCGTATTTCTGAAATTCTTATCTTTTGTATTTTTTCAGGCCACCAATTGTACGTTTTCCTGGGACTCGGGGACCAGCACTACCCTGACTGACATTAACATTGAGATTCCCAAAGGTAAGGCATCGCAAGCTTCATTTTGTAGTCGGTCCATGCAGAGCTAGCGAAATCAGCTGCCTGACGGAAGTCAAAATATTTTGACAATCAAAATATTTTGTCGGACAACCAAAAGTTTGAGGTTGCCAGCCCGACGGGCAACTACTTTTTTTCACCAATACTCACACATTTTTGCACTTTATGTTAGTCCATGGGATTTTCATAAGTTCCAGAATCCCATACATGATAATATCAACATTTTGACTCCCGCTGCTGTGCTATTGCCATTTGATGTTGGTAATCTACGCATAAACCAATATCGGGTACCAACCAGAACATCATGCAGTAACGTTTCGCGTACGTAATGTGTGTAGGCAGCGAATGCAATCCTGTGTGTACGTATGTTTCCAATAATATTAGAGCACGGGTACCGTACACAAACACGCAGCTACGGTCGGCCACTGCCGGCCACGCATACTTGCAAAATGGAGATAGCGCAGCAGCTGAGTACAAAATATTTTGGTTGTCCCGGGACGTCGGACAGCCAAAACAGTCATACATAGGATTTGGCATTCAGTTTTGGGGCAATATTAAAGGTTCTTTATTGGACAACTGAAAATGAAAAACCTGATTTCAAGCACCCCTTTTTATAAAAAATTTGCGAGGCCTGCCATGGTTTGGCACAATAGCTAACAAAAATTATGAAACAGCAATTTAAAAACAACCTTGAAAGAGCATAGGCAGTACATCTTGAAAGAATTCTGTTACTTTGGTGTGTTGATACAGGCAGACTGACCATGATTGTCGGCCAGGTTGGTACAGGCAAGTCATCGTTACTGTCAGCGTTACTCGGTGAAATGCACACACTCTCTGGCACTGTACAGTTTAACAAGTAAGTTGAGTAAATAAGGACAGTATTGTTCAGGAGAAGGATAGGGGTCGATTTAACTTCCCCCCCCCCCCAACCCCAAGAAAACCAAAAGTAAAGAAGGGCAATATTTTGACAAAATATACGTGCACCAGTATCTTGAAAGTTTCAGTGTTCATGGTAAAAGCAGTATTTTTGAAAGTGACCGTATTTTGTGAAAATTTTTCTTGCGAATTTGTTTGAACTTTTTCTGGAAGGTTGCAACCAAAGTTTCTTTACCCTCCAAGACGATTCAAAACATATTCCTTTATCACATGATTTGTACAAGAAAATAATTCCAATATTTTCTGCCAAGCAGGTGCTTTGAAAAGTTAAAAGTTCAAGCAAATTTTATTAACTCAACCGCAAACAACATTCCAGTTTCTGTGGCTATAGCCAAAATGTTGTTAGCATGATTATTTATTTGACTGAGGTTGAAGTGCGCTGGATGTCTTCCCCCCCCCCCCCCCCCCATTTGGGCACTTTCCAACCTTATAATTACTAATTATTGTCAAATGCCGCCCTCTCTTGTCAGGACAGAGAACGGCGTGGCCTACTCCGCCCAGCGTGCCTGGCTGCTCAACGCTTCTCTCAGGGACAACATTCTCTTTGGACAGGAGTTTGAATCAGAAAAGTAGGAATTTCATGCACATCCTTACATAAATTCTGACTACTGCTATGCTATAACACGCAAAGGTGTTCAGGAATTGATCGCCAGTGAAGCAGACAACAGGCTGCAAAGCTGCCTTCCCCTTGAAGTGGGCGAAGCAAAGCCTCGTATTAATAATTAAGTTGCTCAGTTACTATTGTTTGGCTATTCTTTTCAACAATCCAATTGAACAGTGTATGGTTACAGTCTTCAGTTTGATTATGCAACCCTTTTTAAGGAAGAAAGACTTACTTTCAGAAGGTTCATGAGTACTCGTTGAAAACATTCTAGAGTGGTTAAAGTTGTCAATTACAAGACCATAACAAGTGATCCACTCTTAAATCCAAAGACAACTTAGACAAGCTATTATACAAATGAATTGTGGCAAAGGAATTCCTATTTCATTCCGTTTGCACTGTAATTTGTGACCTGGGCCCAATTTCACGGCGCTGCTAAGCACAAAAATGTGCTTAGAACAAAAAAAGTCTGGCTTATAAAAGCAGGTTTCCAGCCAGACCTCCATGTGATTTTCATGATAAGCAAACAACAGCCGAATACTAATCACGAGCAATGTTCATCACATGGGGTTTTGGCTGGTAACCTGCTTTTATATGCCAGACTTTTTTTGTGCTAAGCAATTTTTTGTGTGCTTAGCAGCGCTGTGAAATTGGCCCCTGCCTTGTGCTTGACTTTTGATTTTGACTAGTCTTGGCCCAAGACGTCAGTGTTCAAAAGCAATAGTTGCATTGTTGTGTGGCCCCCTTGCATAATTGTTTGTTTACTTTCTCGCACTAACGTCTTGGTCACTTCGTAGCAATGGGGGTGGGGCCATTTTATACAAATAAGACCATCTGTATCAATTTAAAAACACAGTTCCCTTTTATAGCTCCATGCTTGATCACCTCAGTTTAGCGCGTATGTTTAGAACCAATCAGGTGAGCCGTTGAACCTTTTCTCGATCGCTGATTGGTTTCCTAGGAAAGCCTAGGGAGAAAATAAACAAAACGTTAAAGGAAATGGCCAAGACGTTAGTGCGAATAGCCCACTAGTCTAATTGTTTTGCAATTATTAAGGGCGCACTATGCACCGTCCACTGTCGATCACCAGCATCTCGGGCAAAGACTAGATTTTGACTCGTGATGGAGTTGTGATTTTACTTTGATTAAGACTTTTGATGGACGAGTAGCCCCTCAATGAATACGAAGATAGAGTTGGGGGAGACCACTGTGAGGGACATTCAAATGCATTGCCGGCGGCGCCTGACGCTCATGGGAAGATGCTATGGCCTTGTACACATTCAGAATTATGTATATCTCCCTCAAGTTTGTACATTATCATCGGTTTTAAGGCTGTTGTCCAGTCTGTTCTGGGTTGGTCTGCTTTCTCCCTATGGCTCTCCTTTCCACATGGCGCTGTCCATCCCGTCCCTCGCATTGACTCCAAGCAGTCGCATGTCATCAGTCACGGAACTCTGCCACGTCTTGCGCGGTCAGCCAACGGGTGTGGGCCCACACGCGACTACTTTGGTACACTTCTTGACCCAGCTAGCATCATCCTTTCTGTCGATGTAACCATACCACCTCAGCCTGTGCCTCCTCAACACGATACTGATCCCCTCCACTCCAATTCTCCTCCTCAACTCCTCATTGACAGCCTGTCAGCCATACAAAGTCAACAATCTTCCCTCCTGTTCCATGCAGATACCAAGCGGTAGTATCGGCGTGCTCCCTGCAGCAAGATATGGACATCCTACCTGCCGGTGATCAGACAGAGATCGGGGAGAAGGGAATCAACCTGAGCGGTGGGCAGAAGCAACGAGTCAGCGTAGCCAGAGCTGTCTACAGTCACAATGATATCGTCATATTGGTAATGTCAGCCCAAAAGAGCCATTTTTTTGTCATCTTGCAGCCTCAGAAATCTCGAAAATGCAACAACTGGCTGAAGTAAAATTTTACCGGCCAATAGAGACTTTCATGCGTAATATACATGCAAGCTTTTAGCGTAATCAAACAAAACATTTTAAAAATTATGATCATGAATGTAGCATGCTGCATTTTGTGAATAAACGCATTTTCCTGTGCACAGTTCTATGCACATTAAATTTTTCATTGCCCTGCGGCATTGAAAATTTGACATTTTATGCCACGTAAGATAAGACACACATAAGTCTACAACAGATTTGTGGATAACGCCCTTTTTAAAGTTTCCATCTTATGTGAAAAATGTTGCTACTGAAAAGATCCATTCCTGAGGATGTTTTTCTTGACATTTGTGACATTTTCTAGTATTTTGCACCAGGGCTGACTACCTATCATTGTCAATAAACGAGGCTTGCGTGTAAGAAGTGTGGGGGTTTTAATCTTGGCAACAGACATTTTTTTTTCTGTCAGAAAATTCTTTGTGAAAATTTATCAGCTAAAGAATTTTAATTTGTTTTATAAAACAGACACATCAATGCCCACTATCCACATTGACAGGCCTCACTACCATGTCCAATGTAATACCATTACATATCGTCACCGTTTTGACAAAGTGACACATCTGTGTGCACAGATGCAAAACCGAGTTTTGAGAAAATTGCATTTGAAGTTGGTGGATTTTTCAATTGGCATTTTTGTGTACATTTCTCCCCCAGGAATTAAAAAATATATAACTGAGGCAATAGCCCAGGAGTTAAATAGCCAAAAACAATTCTCTCTGTTCATAAAATCATGTTTAATTAGAAGATATTAATTACTAAAGATATCCGTCATTTCATCAAAACGGAAAATCTACTTCTTAACAAAAATGAGGCATATGTTTGTACACAGCGTGTGCGCGTATATAAAATGTATACATTTTAGAACGCAGATGCGTCACTTCGTCAAAACACAAATCGTGGAGGCTTCATATTTCTATTTATAGCACACGTGTAAAATCAATGAAGTGACACAGAGAGATTCGTCACTTCGTCAAAACAAAAAACTTAGTGTGTAGCACTTTCAACACTTTGTGCAATTAGCGTAATTAACAAACAATGGAATGTTGTGCCTCGAAATTTGGTAATTATGTAGAGGACATCATAAAATGTTAGAATATCCAAAAATCTCAGATTTCAGAAAATCTCGGCTTTGGAGGGATGCGTCACTTCGTCAAAACGGTGACGATCCCGGCATGTCTATAGCATATTTTCAATTATGGATAGTCAAATTGGCTGGTTTTGGAGCGCGGAGATCCTATTTGAATGATACTCTTTGTATGCTACAGGATGACCCATTGTCGGCACTGGACGTCCATGTCGGTATCAAACTATTTGAAGAAGGAATTCTGGACTTGCTCCTGGGAAACCAACGGACCGTGATACTGGTCACCCATCAGGTCCAGTACATCAAGTATGCCCATAAGGTGGGTATAGCTTTTCCCTGAAAAGCTGCTTAGCAGACAATTATGCTAAGGGCAATTCCACGGTTACTCATGTTACATTTTTGATGTACTTTTGAGTTTCCTTGGGCTGTAATTACCTTACTGAAAAGGTTTAATAACTGTTATCCCCATGGTAGATAGAGTAGACCTAGACCTACCTAAGCACCAAAGATGACATCCAGAAAAATGTGTTATGTATGATAAACAAGACGCACAAAATCGGTTACTCACGTTACGAAAATGTAACGTGAGTAACCTTGGAATTGCCCCTAAGCACGTTTTCTTGGTAAGTTAACCACTGAACCAGTCATGAGCACTTTACATCATGTGGTGTTCTGGCTGGTAACCCAGGTTTTTGCTAAGCAACTATATTCTGTGCTTAGAAGCTCCATGAAAGTGACCCCTGGTTTATGACTCCATGCGACAATCTTAGATGGCAACCCCAGTGCTGCCAACTTTGAGTAATAGTTGAGAGTGAGAATTTGGCGATTGAGCTAATGCGAGCACGACATGAAAATCCCTTACAGCGTGGGGTTCAGGGCCCACTTAAAGGGAATGTACAACATTTGCCTTTGCTGCAATTATCAGAAGTAAATGGATTTGGAGGATTAGTATGTTATAGCAAATATTGTAAAACTGACTTGTTTCACGTTTTGGGCTTGGAGATGCTCGAAAATCCAAGAAAACCAACCATGTTCTTGAAGTCTGGTTCCCTAACCCCACTTTAGATAAAACGGAGCAATTTATAGAGTTTGGGGAATGGTAAGGTCAGAGAATCAGTCTAGCAGGCTTGTACCCCTTCACATGTGTGTAATCAATTGCAAAGAAAATGCGGAAAAATTAAATCTGAAAAATTACGAGCAGTTTTTGAAAAAAAGCCAGTTTTCTCAAACGCTGGTCGGCGACCAGCGTTGGAAAAACCTAACTATTTTTCAACTACTGCTCAAAATTCACCATTTTTTTTTCAGTCCAAATTTTGTTTGCTATTGGTTACATGGTCATGAAGGGGTTCAGGCCAGCTAGACTGGTTCCCTTACCTTACAATTTTCCGGCATCTATAAATTCATCCATTTTATCTTTAGTGGAGTCAGGGAATCAGACTACCGTTTGTGTGTTTCTTGGTTTTTCCAGCATTTTCGAACACAAAACTCCAAACATGTCAGTGTAACAATATTTGATTTATTATACTAACCCCTCAACTAGTTCATTTCTGAAAATTACAGCAAAAGCCAATGATGTACATTCCCTTTAAAGACCAATTCACAGCATGCTTTTGACCCTCTTCCCAAGGTACTGGTGATGAAAGACGGCCGGATCGCGCTCCAGGGTACCCCTGATGAAATCTGGAAGGCTGATCCAGAGTTAAAGATCTCCCGCATCGCCACGGCTGAGTCAGACGTTTCAGAACCGGAAGAAGAGAGGAAACTACTACAACAGGCTGTGAAGGAATTGGAGAAAGAAGAACAAGCGCTTGGTCAGCTAACTTAGAATAATTCCTCTTCACTAAAACAGATTTCGATTTGCTATTTTTCTAGTTCCACAAAGGTTACTCACTTTTGAATGAGATAGTAAACAAAACAATCCTCCCACACTGATTTATGCCCCCCCCCCTAAAAAAAATCCCCATTTTAAATTGTTTGCAACCCTGGCAATAATTCAGGTGGATCTTTTTGTGCATTAGAGGCACAAAAGCAACCCAAAATATTATTTTTTTTAAATTGAAGCCCAACATTTAATAAAAAAAAGATTTGTTTGTGTTTAAAGAATAATGTTAATAACAATAATGTGTATTTATAAAGTGCATGTATCCACTAGTATTGGTGCTCAAGGCGCTACATCATTATTACCCTGCTCATTGGGCCCATGAAACATTCCGAACACAATCTGAGCTCCCTGGGGAGTAAACAGCTCGATATTGCCATTTTGGGGCAAGGCAGCTAAAATCAATCACAATAACCGCATTCACAGGTACCCATTTACTCCTGAGTGGAGACAAGCAATGAGTGACAAAGTGCCTTGCCCAAGGGCACACACACCATGACCCCAGGCTGGACTTGAACCCACAACCTGCAGAATTACCCGCAGACCACGAATTCAGTGCACCGGACCACGAGGCCATGAAACTCCACGTGCACACTATTACTGAAAATATGTTTGGATAAAAGTAAAATTGAAATTTGACCATGCTGACTGTTGTGCTTCCGGCTTGTAGTCTAAGATGCAGATTGTGCCTTTTTCATGTAGACTGTAAGCATTAAGGCCAAAAAAAATAAGTCTCCGGTTTCTGGTATGGAGCTTGCCCAAAAAGTGGTGCGGCGACGCGGCTTTTTTTTTTTTTAACCTGATTTTTTTGCCTCAAATGTCGGCTGATGACTGCAAATGGTGCCCGACTAGACTTAGTGCAAATACATGGGAGTCCAGAGAAGCCACATAAAGCTTATTCTCGATCATAACCCCATCTAAAAACACGTTAAAATTGTGCAGCAGCAGGATTCCAGTCAAACCAGTGAATTTGGCGGTTTTGAGACATCATCTTTCATTGAAAAAAAACTTTTTCATTTTGCCGACGCGCATGGCTACGGCGACGCGCGCGCATACCAGAAACCGGAGACTTTTTTTTTTGGGCCTAAGCACATCAACGCTAACCTGAGAAGGAAAAGCGCTTAAATTAGTGACGTTCCTGAATCTTGTTGAGTATGCCATTAGCACATCCATGCTGTGAAACGTTAAACGTGAAACAGTGCTTATTATTAACCCATTTTTTTGCACAGTCAACCGAAGTTTTCTGTGAACAGTGCAATGACATCACATTGGGCCCTGGTCTTACGGTCCCATTTTTCCCTCTTGCAGACACGACAGCAGAGGGCGCCCTGATCGGCAAAGAGGAGCGCGAGAAGGGCGCCATCTCGTGGCGGGTCTTTCTGTTCTACATAAAGGCCATGCGGTACCCATTGGCCCTCCTGGCGTTGGCTGTCATGCTGGGCTACAACGGCATGATCGTGGGTACCGACTTCTGGCTGTCGGCATGGTCCGAGGCAGGGGACCGGCTGAAACTGGACAATGCTACCGACGTAAGATTGTGCAATTACAAAGTTATACTAAGGGAATAATTGTGTGCTCAAGAGGTATTAATCACTCTGTTTAAGACCGCTTAGAGTCTGGGTGTTGATAATTACCCGAGCCGGAGGCGAGGGTAATTATCAGCACCCAGACTGTAAGCACACATTTATTCCCATTCATAAATACCTTTTCGGTTAAAAAAATATAATATTTCGGTCAAAAAATCCCGATTTTGTTCAACAAGTTCACTTCATGTTTTTTTAAACATCCCTCTAGCTAAATAATGGAGTGTTCAGCTGGCGATTAAGATGTAAACAACCCTTTTATGGAGATTGACGCGTGCGTGGCACGTTCTGTGCGACGTCGCGCAGAACGCACCTGGGGCATTGCGTTTTGAATTTAGAACTATAAAATTCTGACTCCCTGGTAGTGTTGCGCATGCCTACGTGAGGACTGTGAACGTTCAACCAATAAAACGGCAAGAGGCACTGGATTTTTAGGAGTCCACATTTTATGTGACACTGGAAAAGTGTTTAAGACCAGCTAGCCATGTCTTTATCATCCGTTTAAGACCGGCCACGTGACGGGCTCTGGACCAATAGGAATGGCTAAACTGTCTGAGGTATTTAAGAATATCAATTAAGCGTAACAGTATTGTGGAATGAAATCAAAGTGTATTTTCAATAAAGTTTGATGTAAAAGTTTTAAATTAACCGGGAAAACCCATCATTCAATATGACGCCCAGTGTGGACGAAAACCGATATATTGGCTCAATTGTCGCAGTACATTTCTTCAATTTAGCCTAGTGAAGGTAATAAGTTAACTCAAAAGAGTTAATGATGTCTGGTCCCCCGAGTCTTTTCGATACATTTGTGCATTGTAATACAAATTCCTCAGACTGTTATATAAAGTGCTCGAAATTCCAACTGGACCACTGGATCTAGTTGGACAGGTCTACAATTGATCGAGACTGACTGTCCAGTTGATTCCTCATACCCCATACCTCCTGTTATTATTTAGTATGTGTAACAGACTCCATTTTAAAGGAAATATACAACATTGCATCAAAAAACAAACCTACCAAATTATTATGAAAAACCGTACTTGATTGTAAGTGAATAACAGTCTCAAGCATCCTGTGAAATTGTGGCACCTGGTGTGCTGTCATTTTCAAGAAAAGCGGAAAAGAAAATACTGCCCCCAATTTACTACATTTAGTTTGACCACTCACATCCGTGAATGTCTGGTTCCCTAAACTTGACAATTCCCTGACATCTGTAAATTGCTCAGTTTTGTCTGAAGTAGGGTCAGGGAACCAGACTACAAGAGCAACATTTTTCTTGGTTTTTTCCAGCATCTATGAACACACAACTTTAAACATGCCAGTGTAACCATTTCTGCCATAAAATACTAACCTCTATTAAATCCATCCATTTCTGAAAATTACAGCAAAAGCAAATGTTGTATATTACCTTTAACCCCAATATAAGCAAGTCATGATAAATTAACCTTCATCTTTGTCGTTGACAATATTTATTCTGATTTACATTGCACAACCAAAGGGTTGACATTGAGAGGCTATTTTTTTGGCACAGTGCATAATGAGACACACTGTGTTGGCACACAGGTTTGTGCGCATATGGCGTGAAGTACGCACGACTAGTTTTGCGTGAGCGTCATACATCATCGGCAGTGCGTTTGAATGCCTAGTCCCAGTGGTCTCTCCCAACTCTCCTGTGCTTATCGTTGAGGGGGTTATTCTAAACGGAGCCCCCATACACGAGAGCATCCGCAAGGGACTCTAAACAGACCATAGTCAACGAACAACCACTTTGTAAAAGGAAGGGATTTTCATCGCAGACGTCGTCGTTGTACCTCCTCCACCCCAATAACTGAATCACTTTGACATGTCTTGATGAGGCAAAACTCTCCATATTTATCTTTTAACAGCAAGAAATCGGCTCTACCCAGACTTACTACATCGGTGGCTATACGGCCCTAGCCATGTCGTCAGCCGTTCTGTCGTTCATCTCTGCTGTCAGCTGTTTTGTGGCCGGTCTCTTGGCATCACGCCAACTCCACCGGAGCATGCTGGGAGTCATGTCCAGAGCCCCAATGCGCTTCTACGACACCACACCGATTGGACGCATCTTGAACCGATTCTCAAGTGACATCCATACTGTTGATGATGTAAGTTGTAAGAATATTAAAAGCCCTTAAAATAAAAGAACGGAACAAGGCAATGGGATTCTCACTCGACCTCGTGCCAGGCGGGTTGAAGCCATCACGCTCGGGCAGCACACTCTTATTTCCAGCCTCGCTAGCTGCGAGAGGGTCGCCAACAGATATTTTCCGGCCTCGCTCCCTGCATGTTTATCCATCATCCGTTCCCAATACCGCAAAATGTTTGTGGTACTGCAAATACCGCAAAACGTTTGCTGGTATACATGTCATCCGGTGCCAACTGGTTAATAATTGTCAATCTGATTATTTATAATTTGTCCTGTCTTCCCACTTTGTCTTTTTCTTTCTCCAGCTTTTGCCTTCCGATTTTCTCTTCTTGGTTGAAGCAACCTTCAAGTGCTTGTCAGCAGTCATCGTCAACACAATCGTAACTCCATTCTTCATTCTGGCTATACTACCAGTCGCTGTGTGCTACATGCTGCTGCGGCATTACTACTTGAGAACCTCCAGGTAAGCATCCGTTTGGACTCCAGGGTGAAACTACAGAGGACAGTATTGGGCCAACTCGTGAATGCCATGAGCCAATGAGCTCCGTGCGCTACCAAAAGAGGGCGCCCCTTTACTTAGCAACGACGTCCCATGGGTGGTACATTTCGCTGGTTGACGCGCACTGTTCCTTTTGTGTGACGCGCGTACACCAGGGGATTTGTTCTATGTACACGCAGTGGCCGCGCCCCCCAACTGTACTTCCTTTGCCGGTGAGGGGGTACTTGTGAACGGAGCGGATACACCCCCGTGTGTAGATGGATCCTGGCAGGCACTGCGTCAAGGGGGAAGTTTTCTACTTTCAGGAGAATTGTGACCTAAGTTGTGGGGACTTTTTGAGTGTCCAACAATGGCTGTTTGTCCTCACAAATCCTACAACTGGTGTGAGGACCCCACACCTTTGGAATAAGTATGTGTATTTATGGACTTGTGTGGCGCAAAGTGTTCATCCAATTTTCACCTGAAACTAACTTTAAAAAAACCTGTCGTGTCTTGGTATGAGAATATTATGAAAATGGAAATGGGTTACATCTAGTAACAGCAGCGGGGTAGCTACAGGGGAGCATGGTGGAGCACACGCCCCCCAGAAAAAATGTCGTCCCCCGCCTCCCCCACTGGAAATTGGGCAATTAGAAAAAGTCACTAAACTATGATTAGCGGGTTGAACATAAAGTTCCTATGTTCACATATTGTCTATATTTTTGGCAAAAACTCTTCTTTTTTTTAGTGATTGACTATTTATTTTAACGTCCCATTGAATGCATATAACGATATCTTTTGTCTGACGATGACCAAGAATTCAGTTTAGAATAGAGCCCCCATTGAAAGATGGTGTCCAGCAACCCCTCCCCCCCCTCCCCCCTCCCCCCCCCCTCTCCCCCCTCTCCCCCCCCCCCCCCCCCCCCCATTTGATTTTACGGAGGCGGGGTGTCTGGTGAAGAAACACCTGTTTCTTTGAGCGCGGATTAAATTGTGCACCTCTCCATTGTAACATCCAGCCCCCCCCCTCCACTCACCTCCCCCTAGAATGAGAACCCTGGCTACGCCGCCCAGGAACGGTCATGTTTTACATTCCAAAGATTCCAAATTATCTAAAAGCAGTTCTATCGTGTATTAATTTTTTTTTGCTTAGGCCACATCTGGATATAAAGTAGAGAAGCACATTTGTAATATTGTAAGTGGTGTATCATTCTTGTTTTTCCCCAGAGAATTGCAGCGACTCAGCAGCATCACCAAGTCACCAGTCTATGCTCATTTCTCAGAGACCTTGAGTGGTCTGTCGACTATCCGTGCCTACAGGTACAAATGTAGCTTTGTTGTGTCTTGCCTGTCTTGCTGCTTACTTCACAATCCATATTTTGCATCTCGAAAAACATAGGTTTTTGTGAGATGGTAACATCACAATAGTTGCCCTAACCCAAAACCCTAACCTTAACCCTAACTCCCTAGGGGTGTGCAAGTTGGAGGATTCAGGACTGCTAGGGCTAATCCTGACCCTTACCCTAACCCAACCATTACCTTACTTTAACCCTAAACCTAACCCTAACTCTACCCTTACCTAACCCTTACGTAACCCTAAGTAATCTATCTTTACATTGCATATGATGTCCTTCAATGGCTCTCTTGAATAAATCACCGTGACATTAACTGTTCAAGCATGTTCAGTCTAGGACCACATGTCGATTAGTGGTTGATTCAAGACATATAATTTACACCTATGCATTAATAGGAACGTCCGAACGTCTCTAGTCAAACGCTGGTCAAAACGCCCTCACGAAGCTTCCTGGCTCCCTGCTATGCATTATGATGCGCGCGGCTATTGGTAACCAGTGATGGCACCATGCCTTAGGCTCCAGTTCCTTAATAGTCGACTATAGTAGTCTAACCATCCTGCGTTTGAGAGAAAGTGGTCGATCTATGGTTCAGCTTAGTCCTCACAGAATGAATAACTACGGAAGAAGTCCTTGGTACTTGGTACTTGGTTGGTTCTTCTCCTAAGGACTCCGCAGGGGAGTTTTAACAGGAGGCCAGAAACACCGGGGCAAATTAACCCCTTTTCTTAGTGATAAGTGTTACTGGGTTCTTTTACGTGCATTGCATTACACAACACACAGGACCTACGGCTTCACGTCCCATCCGAAGGACAAAGCAACAATAGTTAAGTGCCTTGCTTAAGGGCACAAGAGTCCAGACCCGGACTCGAACCCACATTCTGCTGCCTGTGAAACACCAGAGCATGAGTCCGGTGCAGTGCTCTTACCCTCTTGGCCATGACACTCCACTAAGACTAAGTTTCCCTAGACTAAGTTTTTCCTTGCCTTATACTCTCAGAGACGAGGAGAGATTCCAGAAGAACATCCTGGATGCGATTGATAAGAACATCCTTGCCGAGCTCAACCTGAACACCTGCAATCGATGGCTTGGAATTAGACTGGTATTAAGTCAGTCCATATTTCTTATTACTATACCTCATACATATTCATGATCGAGAGCCGAATTCTCACTGGTCTATTCACCATCACATGCCAGCCGCTATTTCTGCTGTTTACTGAGCGCGCACGCAAGTATTTACGCACATGGTATTTAAAGCGCATGCGTAGTAGACTATCGCACAGGTTACCTGTGCGGTAGTCCACTAGGCATGCGCTTTATGAAGCAATCATGCAACTATTGCATGGGTGTTGTACATCGCCCTAGCTACACATGAGAAGATGGCAGCCTACGTATTTAATCAGTATTTTCCCAATCTCAATGATGCCAAACTGGAGAATATTGAGGACAATGAAGATGCCTCCTCTCCTAAAAAAAGTTGTCCACAATGTGGTAGAAAGTCTTAGGAGTTACTGTATTGCAAAAGGACTGAACTTTCTAAGACTGAGCAATATTCTTCTGATGAGCTGGACAAGCTTCTCCGAAGATTTTATGCCACAAATTACAATGGCAGCTGAATATGTATGAGGTATAGTAAAGCAAATACATAGCTGCCAACTTTTATGAATTTTTTTGTAATTATTACAAATTTTTTGTTAAATTATGAAAATACGAATTGCCACTAAAAAACTATGAATTTCCCATTTTCTACCGAACGAAGAAAAGAAATACTTGTAAAGTATCGTTTTTGCCCGAAAACTTTTTGGAAAATGTTACGATAATAGATGGACTGGTGACAAGTCTAATAAGCAATGCGGTCAATGCGGTCAATTTTGAATAGGATTGTCTTATGATAATGTCATTTACATAGACCTTTGGGGAATGTTGTAGCTACATCTTGATACCCCGTTTGCTACCAAAGACTATAAATCGTCCAACATTGATAACAGTTTATAAAAAAAGGGTGCAGTTTGAAAAGTTGCATTTAAAGAGTACGCAGTTGGAAATTGGTAATGTATAAATTTTAAACTTTTTAAACTGCATCATTTTTTATAAACCGTAATCTTGGATGAATTACAGTCTTTGGTAGCAAACGGGGTATCCAAATGTAGCTGACAAAATTCCCCAAAGGTCTATATAAATGACGTCATCATAATCAGATTTAAAATTATGACCAATCCAGTGAGCGTGGACTTTGTTGTGTTTAGAATGACATATCTGCTGATGGTGGCATTTTTATCATTGTCCGATTTGTCTGACTTTGCAGGATTTCATTGGCAATGTGGTTGTTCTACTAGCGGGGTTGACTAGCCTGACTGTAGCCGTCACATCATCAGGGCTAGCACCAAGCTACGTGGGACTGGCTCTATCATATGCACTGGCTGTAAGTCCGAAATTGATCTTTAAGGCCTCCTAAGCCTGTGTGGAAAATCCCTCAATGTTTGAACAAATTTTGGAAAATCGGTCTTAATTTACCATGTTTTTAAAATGCAGAAAATAGAATTAGGAGTGGGTACTGCAGTGAAATTGATCTTTAAGGCTTACTAAGCCTGTGTGGAAAATTCCGTCAATGTTTGAACAAATTTTGGAAAATCGGTCTTAATTTACCGTGTTTTTGCAGAAAATCGAATGAGGAGTGAGTACCGCAGTGCTTTTGTGTCATGCACTCATGCTAGTTAGCTTGAATTGAACCCATTGGTCTCTGTACCGTCCCAAAGTGCCCTGCCTGTTACCTGAAGAAGGGTGCCTAATAACTGACCTAATGAAGTTTTAGCTCTGTGAATGCTGAATATTCCCCCCCCAAAAAACAATGTTTCAGGATCTCAATTTCAATTCAGAAGCTGCCATTCAAAATTGCCATAGCAGTCTTGTTTTGAATTGCGCCCGTAATCAGGGTCCGGGAATCGGTCTCGTTCAGCAGATTGCAGCTACGCAATGTCATGCACTGAACCGATAAATTATAGTAACAACGCGCACGTTTGTGTCGTGTAAACGCTTGCGCAAACCATTCACGGCTTCATCGAATTAAAAACGAACTACAAAAAAAAATTTTTTTACATGCGTCTTTAGACGCATCTTTGGAAATGACCTTCTTTAATTGTTTTCTTTACAATGACAGTATACCATACAGAATAATTTTACAGCCAGTTAAATTAAACGTGCCATTAAAAAGTGCCATTAAACCAAGTAAGCTTTTTAACAATAATTTTGTCAGTTACTTTATGGATAGCTGCAAATGATATACTCTACCTTTGAAGCTGGAGTCCATCATTTGCAGCTATCCAAAAAGTAACTGGCGCAATTCTTGTTGAAAAACATACTTGGTTGAAAAATAGTGAGGGGACTAAACTCCCTGTGAAATTATTCTTTCTGGAAAGCTGTCATTTTGAAAAAATCAACAAAAGAAGGCCTTTCCAATGGTGCTTCTTAAGACGCACCGTAGGAAATTTAGATTAGTAGTTTGTTTTGTTATTCAGCGAAGCGCGCGCAAGCATTGGCACGACGCACATGCGTGCGTGGTTTCTATAATTCGTCGGATCAGAGCACGACATCGCATAGCTGCAATCGGCTCATCGAGAACACGTCTCGGACGCTGAATTCAGGCCCAATTCAAAACATGATTCAGCAACTTTTGATTCGAAATTGAGATCCTAGAATGCTGTTTTTCTTTGAATATACAGCTGAAGCTGAGCTGAAACTTCATCAGGTTAGTTGTTCAGCACCCTTCTTTAGATTTTATGCACGTTTGTTGCTTCAAACGAACAAAATGCACAAATTACAAATGATGGACTTTACCTTTAAAAACTCATTATCTGCTTTGGCCAAGACTTGCGATGGACTCATCTACGACAGTACACTGCCACCTAAGAAGCTCTTTCTGTTGACATCAGCCTTGGTTAGGGGTGGTTGGCCACAATTTGAAGAATCGTGCTGTATTGTTTTTGTCAAAGGCATCGTTTTACTTAAACTGGTTCATCCGGACATCAGCGATCGTGGAGATGCACATGAATGCTGTGGAACGTATCAAGTACTACTGCGAGGTACCAACGGAAAACTATAAAGGTCAAATATTTTACTATGGTTGGTTATTCATGCTAAACAATAAGAAACAACACGACCCAGTTTTACAGTTGTTGACCACAGACTCTAGGGCAGTCTGGCCTTGAGATATTCGAAGTTGTTACACAGGGCAAGCTTCACACTTTCAAAAGTGTTGAAGGTTGTTGCATTTAGAAGGGTTATTACCCAAAGCATCCTGAAGAGCTTTAGTATGTAAAGATGCGTTCCCCTGATATTTCAGTTCACCGGAGTTTTATCTTGAAAAGTAGATTTGTTTTTTTCAATTGCTATTTTCAGCAATGTTAAAGTTGTTCGTTTTTGAATGAGACATCGAACGAAAAAATTGACTTACATGTAGTTATTGAATTGTTTCTTCACAAAATTTCAAATTATTGGCTACCAGACAATAAATTAGCTCTCGCAGGGCGGGTTCCTTTGAGCGCAAAATGAAAGCCCCTTTTCAGACGCCCAAAATTGGACTAAAGTAGTTTTTTTTTGTTAAAAACAAAACTTTCATATTGACAATTCGTTATATGAGAACAAAAAAAAAAATCCATTTTATTATGGGGCACAAGGTATACTACTTAAACATTATTTGTTTTCTTTCAGGAGAACTGCCCGATCCATCCTGGCCAAAAGAGGGCGCTGTTGCTGCGGATGCAATATCGGTGCGCTATGCTGAGAAGCTAGACCCTGTTCTACAGGGTGTATCGCTGAACATCGAACCGGGACAAAAGGTACAGGTGTTTTGGCAAACTGTTTCTTAACCCACTAGGTGCTATCCTGTACCGCCCGAAAGCGCCTTCCCTGTTACCCCTCATACCCCCAAACCACCCCAGCATGCTCTGTGGTTCAATACATCAAGGAGTAAATACATTGTAGTACAATGTAATACAAGTGACAAAGGGTTCAATGTGAGGCATTCTGGCAAAGTGAGACACAACTGGGCAGAGGTCGAAAGGAGGATTTGCGGATAGTAAGAAAGAGAATAAAACCCTCCTTACAATATTTTTTTTTTAATTCAATCGGACATTCAGTTGACAAGTTATGGTTGTTTAAAATTTGCACTTGTCAACATGCCAAAAAGTAAAATACTGAGAAAAAGGCCTTTAAAGTTTCAAGGTTTGTATTAGTGCAAGTGAAAGATGCCAATTGGTTTTCCTTAAAAACTCTTTTATTCCGCAATTTTTATACTATATCTTTAAAATATGTGTGGTAGACATATCAATAGTTAGGCCAAAAAAAAAAAAAAGTCGGTCTCTGGTCAGCGCGCGCGTCGATTTTAATCATGCGCGTCGATCTTATTTTTTTCCAAAATGTTCCGCGGTAGCTCCAACAGCGCCCTCTATTTCCGCACCTCCTCAATTTTTTTTTGAATGGGAAATTGCACCAAGGCAAATGATCGAAAGCACCAAGGCAAATTATGGAGGACACCAATGTACATGAGGACACCAAAAAAGCAAAATAGTACCACACCTTGTCTGTACAATCCAAGCTTGAAGAAAAAAGAAAAAAAAAGAAAAAAAGAAAAAAGCCGCGTGGCCGCGTCAATTCCGAAACTTTGGTCTGACCAGAGACCGAATATTTTTTTTTTTGGCCTTATAAATATCAATAAATCCAAAATTCGAAAAAAAAATCACTCCTGTTCAGTTTTTTTCATTTTTCTCCACTGTTTCCAGTTCCGTCTCATTTAGCCGGAATGCCTCACGAATGCTGTTTCCTTGTTTATGTTTGGATTCTGATGTTATAATGCATATTGTTGTATGGCTCAAGATCAGTTGGACGTCCCAAACTCAGGTTTAAAGACACTTGCAAAAGTGCACTCAAATGTGGGAATGTACTTGACAAGTGGAGTAATTGATAACTTGTAATTGATACATGTCAAAGTATAAATGACAAAAGACTTCAGCAAAACAAGAAGAAAAGAGCCAGAAGGCACATGAAGAAAGAATCTATGTTGAAACCCGTTTCGGGCAGATAGGCGATATATGTTGTCTGTCAATTAAAAACAGTTGAATTCTTACAACACTGTCAATTTTCACAAAGATTTTGTAGTGTAAGAAATTGATTCATTTGTTCCTCAGATTGGTATATGTGGCCGAACAGGCAGTGGAAAATCTTCACTCACTCTTGCTTTGTTTAGAATTGTGGATACTTTCAAAGGTAAGTCATTCCAATGTCCCCATTTCAAAAAGGTGGTCAACCGCATTTGATACCACTGACTACCACAACGCTGTTTTTAGTTTGTCACATTGAAAAGGGACGAACCTGTGTTCACAGGAATGGAGTGCCTATCTCTCTTTCGAAGCGATTGGGCCAGACTTTGAGTCCATGAAATGCTGCTGTGGGGGATCGCCACACCTCCTCCACAGCGAGTCTGTTACCTTCCCAGCATTGAATAATGCCGGTACCCATTTAACACCTGGGTTGAGAGGAGTAAATGAGGTTATCTCAACCCAAATACACACATGCCTCTCCACTCCTTCAACAATTACATTGGTTACCAGTTAGACAACGCATCAACTTCAAAACAGCAGTTTTCATGCACAAAGCACTTCATAACACAATGCCGCAGTACATAATGGGATCACTCAACCTTAATGCACCCAGCCGTAGTGGCCTCCGCTCCAGTAACAACCTTAGAGTTCCACGCACATTCAAAAAGGCAGGGGACAGGGCCTTCTCAGTGTCTGGTCCCCGGTGTTGGAATTCCTTGTCACACAACATCCGCAACATCCATTCTCTTGACAACTTTAAGGGCAGATTGAAAACTGATCTGTTCTCTCCACATAATCTGTAACTTGTCTTCTGGAGTTGTCCTTAGTCGCGCATTGATACTTGCGAAAATGCGGGCTACAAATCGTGTTATTATTATTATTATTATTATTATTAAAGCACCTTACTCAAGGGCACAACACGCCTGGATCATGAGGCCTGTGCTCTACCGCTAGACCACACGTGTCACATTGACAGTTATTCGTAGAATAGGCTTTTTTTCACGAGTCGGCCATATTAAATTGAAAACAAGGTAAAATCTTCATTTTGTGAACTTTTGAATAGAAATGAAAGCAATGAAATAAAGTTAATTACAAATTAATACCAGTCTCCTCTGATGAATAATTTAAAATTTGTACTTAAACATACCCTAATGTTCTAAGCCACATTTAAAAAAACAAATGAAAGTGAGGCTTAGAACGCATTAAGTCTGGCACCATCTCATTTAACAGTTTACAATATAGAAAATGCATTCAGGGAACACGATCAAACATGGCTGCCTCGTGGATAAGGTCTATAGAATTTAAGGTAGATGTGATATCAGTATGATACAAATACAGCATGGTTTGAGGGGAAGTAGTGGGAATGACTGGCCCCTCGGTGTAGGTCAGCTTGACTACCTCCCGACGCGAAGCGGAGGGAGGTAGCCAAGCTGACCTACACCGAGGGACCAGTATTTCCAACTACTTTCATGAAATAAACCATGCTGTATATGTTTTACTACACCTCATAGATATTTAGTAGCCTCACTGCCTTTTTAGTAGCCTTACTGCCTTGTCATTAACAGCCTTCGTAGATTTTGCATCTTTATTCAGCATACTTCAAGTTCTTCGCGTCACAGTATGAAATAGTCTGGTGCCAACAGTCTTAAATGTGTTTTTATGGCAGTAGTTACAAGGATTTATACAACAACAGACTGGTTTCGTAAAGATTACATGCCATAGACTACCAGTATGGGAGGCGGGTTCCAGAGGGATTTTTTGGTGCTACCAGAAAAAAACTACCGCACGGCAGCGAGCTGGATACTCACCGGGATGATGTCACCTGGGCGCGTATCATTTTTACTTCCAAGACGCGCGGCAGAATCGGCCAATGGCGGGCTCCAATTTGATCATGAATATTTATGAGGTGTAGTAATTGGTTTTACCACTCGACCATCGAGCTTGCCAGGGTCGGCTGGCTGGTTTGGTCTGATACAGCAGTGGGTACCGCAACCAAACAAGATGGAATTCTGCATCAGAGAGATAAAAAGTTCAACATCAAACCCAATATTGAAAACATTCGTAAACATACATGCATACCACATAATTTCACTTCGACATGTTACATGACTTTTAATTAAAAATTTACCACATTATTCAGCACATTATAATGAGGTCATGTGGTGGCATGTATCGTTTCAGTTTGCGGTAACACCGTGTGGTAATAACTACTGTCACTCAGTAGATAGTTCTGATGAGAACTTGTCCTGCTTATTATCAACTTTCGCTAAGTAGTTTTTGTTCTGATAAGAACAGTCCTGCTTTAAGTTCTGAAAAAACTTGTCTTTGGTCTCAACGTTTCAACTAGCCTGCTCTAGTCATCGTCAGGAGACTGGATATAATGGTTGTAGCTGCATTTTATGTTAGCATTAGATTTAAGTGTTAGTGAAAAGTAACTCCAAGTTTGCAATAGCGTATCCAGCTTTGAACATCAGGGGGGCAACCGCACATTCGCACCGAAATGTAGACATGTTTTCCTCCAGACACTTGGCCTCCGTAAAATCAAAATGGGGGGGGGGGGTACCCACCTTTCAAATAGGCGCGCTCTTCAAAATTGACCATTTTTATGCATACTGCAAATTATTTTACCCATTTTCACGTCGCATTGTAATGGTTTTTGAGCGGGTTTTCTTTTTTGGGGGTTGATGTCAGAACTCTCTAACCATTTATTTAAATAATTGCTGAAAATAAACATTGTTAAAAAAAATCTGCATGTGGGGGTGGGGGTGGAGGCAAAGTGCCCCCTCTGGATACGCCACTGCAAGTTTGGAATACTGTAGTAGTGCTACAGAGTGGAAGAGTTTTTTTGTGTGTGTTATAATTGAATGTTTATGTTCTCTTTTTCAAGGCAAAATTGTAATTGACAATGTGGATATTGCATCGTTGCCGTTGGATCATCTCCGACAAAAACTGTCCATCATCCCACAGGATCCTATCCTCTTCACTGGCACAATCAGGTATGTTGAATAACCAAACCGATCATGGTTACTGAGTATTTTCAGTGACAGAAAGGAGTTGATTAACTTGAATTGCAATTCCAATACCCAAGGAATATTTTGTGATGCCAGTTTCGCTTTACAGTGGAGTGCTGTGGCCTCGTGGTTAAGGGCACTGATTCATGGTCTGCGGGTAAAGCTGCAGGTTGTGGGTTCGAGTCCAGCCTGGGGTCATGGTGCGTGTGCCCTTGGGCAAGGCACTTTGTTACTCATTGCTTCTCTCCACCCAGGGGTAAATGGGCAGAGATGGTTATGTGATTGATTTAGCTTGCTTGCGCCTAACAGGCTGCATTGCTGTATACTCCCCAGGGAGCAGAGATGGTATTTAGAATGTTAAATTGGCCCAATGATCAGGGGTAATAATAATACTGTAAGCGCTGTGATTTAGTGTACTAAAAAGAGCGTTCTTAAATGCCGATTATTATTATTCAAGGTGTGCCTTTATGTAGTCTGAGTATCATCTGTTAACCAACGGAGCTCTCTCTCCGTATACCATGTCTGATATAGCTTAAGTATGCACATTTTGTGCGACCCCACGCGTCAGCCAATCATACTTTTGAAGCTGTGAAGTCACTTTGATCAGAAATGTGGACTAAGCCGTTGATTGGTCAATTTGGCTGCAAAGTTTTTGTAATATAGCAACGAGTTACCAAAGACCCAGGCGCCCGCTGAATGGTCACATTAACTGAGAATCTTTACGTCAAGACAGAGTGTCTTTTTTGCATAATTAATTGGCAAATCTGCGCGAATGTCATAGATGCTTGTCTATGTAGCCTTTTTGCAGCTTCTGAACCATTTACTGCCATTCTCAACTCGCAGGTTCAATTTGGACCCGCTGGATCAGTGTAGCGAGGAGCAAATGTGGAACGCACTGGAGATTGCACAGCTCAAGACGACAGTGTCTGAGCTAGGCCAAGGGTTAGGTGAGTCCAAGCCTTGGTTCAAAACAGGATTTAGATCTTACCTAATGCAAGCCGTCCTGGAAGGAGAGGCGCTATTAACAAGACAAATCAAATCTAAGTCTTAGGAACTTTGGCACCCCAACCCAAGAATTTCCTGATATACCTCACTTCACAGTATAAAAACACTTAAAATTGAGAAAAAAAAGATTAAGTAATAAAGCACCGCTGAGGGAAAAAAAACACAAAGGTCTAAGAAACATATGACAAAGTGTAAGTAAAAGGATATTTTGGAGGAAGAAATATCGTTAAGGGAAGATGAACAAAAGATATTTATCTTTGGTACAACGGAGCAAATCACACACAGTGAAGTTCATTAAAGGTACTTCTTATGCAATTTGTGTTGATGTGGTTCTGCAATTCTCACAGAGTCCCAGGTTTCGGAAGGTGGTGAGAACTTTAGCATGGGCCAGCGAAAGCTGTTCTGCCTCGCTCGGGCCGTTCTGCGGAAGTCTCGCATCTTGATTATGGACGAAGCTACAGCATCTATCGACATGGAAACGGTAGGCATTTGGCACCAAAAGACCGAGGCGTTTGGACTCTTTACTTCTTATTTTTGTGGCCTTCATTCTGTCCCCCCAACAGGTCGGTCGGATCAGGTCGGATTGGGAGTCGCGTCGTGTCGCGTAAACTGAGACAAGTGGATTCAGCCTGACTAGGAAAGCCTTGTTTTAGATGTTGCTTAAAGAATTGTACACCACCGGTCCTTTTAAGAACCTCACAAACTCACAAAAGAGATTTGTTACATGGTGCAACTGCAAACTTACTCTTATTGCTCACTTCACCAAGCAAACCTTCAAATCGTATGTAAGAGCAGGGGTCGACTTTAGCGGTAGCCCGCTAGCCAAATGCTAGTCAAAACAGCGGCGGGCTAGTCAAACTATTCCTTAAATAGCCAGGCTGGCGAGTCAAAAATTATTGGGCTACGGCAAAGATGAAAGGACAGGAAGAAATAAATCATTAAATTCAGAAATCAAACCTGTATCAATTTGTGTCTAATTTTATAACTGTTTAGGGTTAAAATGTTAGATCTGTTTATTAAAAACACTGACAAGGTTGTCTCAGGATACATGTTTTACATGTGTGCACATTGTTGTCTATGAGATACTCTACAAAAGAAAAACATGTGGGCTAGTGAAAGTGCCCGCAGGCTAGTTACATGCGGGCTAGTGAAAATGCCTGCGGGTTAGTTAAGAGTCTGTTTCAGTAGCCCAGCTGGCTATTGAAAAAATGAGCTAAGGTCGAACCCTGTGTGAGAGTCTATAGCCCTTTACAAGACAATTATGTTAGTCAGTCACAAGTCACCGAGTTTTTAGATAAATCACAAGCTATACAAATGAACCGTGTCAAAGACATTCCTTGGATATTATTTCCCCCCCCCCTGTTAATAAAAGGTCTATAAAACCCAATCCTGCCACAATTTACATGATAATTCCTTCTTCAATTTCAAGTTGTACTGTCTTTTTCAGGACAACATTGTCCAGAGAGTTGTGGCCGAGGAGTTCAAAGATCGAACAATACTTTCTATAGCTGTGAGTATTTTATTTTCAATTACATAATCAATTGAACGGAAAGAATGTAGTATGCAGACACCACTTCAACGGTTGTGTACAAAGTCAATGGAGAGTCAAGAAAATTTTCCAAGTATTTCCTAACAAACTTGGCAATGTTTCTCAGTCCCAGATTCATGTCTTTTCAACATTTTTGCAATGACTGACCTTTATTGAGATGATATATGAAGACAAAAGTGGCGTCAGGTTGCAACATTCTTTCCAATTGAACCATTGATCTGTAGCTATTGCATTGAAATGATACAAATGGCTTGCTGAAAATATATGTCATTCCTGATATGTAGCAATGTTATCCCGAAGCCAATACTGTAGTTAATTCATCAAAATGCTAGAAAAAAATGGCTGGCTGAATCCATCCATCCAGCCATCCATCTGTTTATAGTCCGTCTGTCCCCGAACTCGAGGGTTGGACTCCATGATGATCATGTCCTCTTGGTCAGATAGCTTTCCTCCACTCTACTTGGTTCCATGCCAGACTGGCATTGATCTGCAGGCACCTCGGGTCATTGTTGATGTTGTCGTTTCACCTCTTCTTTGGATGGCACGTGCGTAGCTGCCAGGGATCAGGTAGTCTAAGATCTTCCTTGGCCAGCTGTCCTTGTTCATACGCTGGAGGTAACCAAACCAGCGAAGGCGTCCCCAACGAACCACCTCGTCAACAGCAGACAGACTAAACTGGCGCCTTAGCTCAGCCATGGATTTCCTGTCCGACAGCTTTGCTGAACAAATCCATGTCATTTCTATATGAAAACATGTCGTTTCTATGTGTAAATAGCAATGTTGCGCCAGACCATAACGGTCCCCACAGGCCCACCAGGACAACAATAACCAGTTGTTTTCAGTAGACAGCAGCACCAGACAACCCATAGTACATACCCGGGTCAAAGGTCATAATGCTGCTAAGCAGGATATATTGCTTACCAATTTTTTTATGCTCAGCGAAACGTTAGCCGGCAACCAGTCACGAGCAATACACACTGCATGAATGATCACTTGCTTTGTCTTTTTCATGAATTGATCACTTTCTTTCTCATGAATAATTGTTTCGTTTACCTGCAGCACCGAGTGACCACCATCTTGGATGCAGACCGCATCCTCGTCCTCAATGAGGGCGCTATAGCCGAGTACGATACGCCTGAGAACCTCCTGGCGCAAGAGGACAGCTTGTTTGCGTTGTTTGTAAGCAGCGCACACCAGTAATCCACTGATCTGTAATCGATGAGTTTCCCGCCGAAACCAAATGGCTTAAATTTTCAGATTCTCACAGAAACCTAGAATGCTGATGCAAAATATGTCATTGCACCATTGGCTGGAAGTTTTCCCAGTCCTTTACTTGCTTGTTAACCTATCACCTTTACATGGTTGTGCCATATTTGGTAAATTAGGGGATGTGATAAAAATGTGGTTTTGGCTGAATTATTGTATACAAATAATGAATGTTTATGAGCGCAATGGTGAGAAGTATTCATGAGGTGACAGGGGGAAAGTTCCATGAGTGGAATTGAACATTCCATCTGTCACCGAATGAAATTATTCTTTCCATTGCATGGATAGTTTTTTTACACAACACCTGAATAAATCCTCACCATCTGATTGGTCAGATCCACTATCGTGAAATAGAACTTCTGTATTTGCTGATGCATGCAGCTGGGCTGTGGGTTGGGACGAATTATTCAATGACATGCGATCAACGACCCACCAATCAGATGACGGGGATTTATTCAGGCATTGTATCAGGCTGAATATCCCTTTGTAGGCAACTGGCGTAAATCACTTGTGGACTAACTATTAAATTTCTAGCAACAAGCACAACTTTCAAAGAAATCAAGTGTGGCATAGTGATGGTTTGTGACTTACATTTATAGGGTGTCAGCGGTTTGAACCCAGCCACTGGCCATTATAATGTGTCCTTGGGCAAGCCACTTTACCTTGCCTTGCCTCTCTCCAACCACAAGTTTAAAGGCGCACTGGCATTGGCTGGGGAGTGCGTGTGGTATGATGAGCTGTTATACCATTCAGAGGGAATGTAATATGTAAATATTGACTGCTTCGAGTGGTGTAGTAAAAGTAGCCTTCCGAGGTGATCCATGGACATTCTATTTTCCCGAGGCGAAGCCGAGGGAGAAAACAGAATGCTCCATGGATCACTGAGGGAGGCTACTTTTACTACGCCACGAGATAAAAGCAGTCAAGAGTTGTTTTATAACACCTCTCCCACAGATTCTGCTTGATTTTCAGTGATGAATGATTAATTTAATATAAATACAAGTAAAATGTACTACAATTTTAATACAAAATTAGTTGAAACTTTATTTGCACTTTTCCAAAACTCCCCCTTCACGAAATGTTTAAACCGCTGTTGCGCTACCACTTTGGAATAATGCGTGCAACGCGCTCACCCATATGCATTTGCACACAATACCAGTTATGCGTATTGTACTTTGGTTGCTACAGGTATAGTACTTTGGTTGCTACGGGTATGGTACTTTTGGCAGTGTACAGCAAGATAGCAAAAATAGTGAATGCCACAATATTCGCTCTCGGCAAATTAAGATACCGAATATGTGGGTTAGGTGTTCAAAGAAACTGGTTCAAAGAAACTGGTGATAAAGTAATGGCTTGTTTTAAGCTAAAGACAGATATTACTTACTTTATGACTTCCTTTTAATGATTTCAGTGAGTTGAATATAAAGAATAAGCTATTTATCGTTTGATGTTAAAAGCATTTTGTATGAGAACACATTATGTACTTTGTGTTTTGGGGGTTTGTGATAAAGGATGACTAAAAGTCAGTATTCTCGTGAGTGTATATCTGTTGCATGGCCTCTGAGGCTGTAGTCTTCCACCCACATTGGCCAATTTGTTTTAAAACATTTTTAAATTGGTGCGAGTTTAACAGTTTGAGCCTCAAAGCGCTTGAGCCTGGGCAGATAAATGCAAAAGTTTTGCCAATCTTTAGCCTATTTCATTGCCTAAATGAGATATTGCTTCTTTGTGTATATGCAGGTTTATAGTAAATATGATCGTCAGTATTTAACTATCAGTACTTCCTGTAAATTAAGCAATGAGCTGTTTTCCATTGACCATAACAGTCTCCAATTCATCAATTTTAATATGATTTTTCACACACCCTAGGGAGCTTAGGCCCAAAAAAAAAAGTCTCCGGTTTCTGGTATGCGCGCGCGTCGCCAGAGCCATGCGCGTTGGCAAAATGAAAAAGTTTTTTTTTTCAATGAAAGATGATGTCTCAAAACCGCCAAACTCACTGGTTTGACTGGAATCCTGCTGCTGCACAATTTTAACGTGTTTTTAGATGGGGTTATGGTCGAGAATAAGCTTTATGTGGCCTCTCTGGACTCTCATATATTTGCACTAAGTTTAGTCGGGCACCATTTGCAGTCATCAGCCGACATTTTAAGCAAAAAAATCAGGTAAAAAAAAAAAAAAGCCACGTCGCCGCACCACTTTTTGGGCAAGCTCCATACCAGAAACAGGAGACTTTTTTTTTTGGCCTTATACTGCCTATTTTACCCATGAAATGGGGAAGTGAGGGATGTCAGACAAACTTCTCTTTTATTTTTTTGGGTACTTTGGGGGTTTTCCGGAATCTTGAAACCACCGATCATTAAAAAACAAAGTCTATGTGACGGAGACAAGAAAATGACTAAAAGTGCATCTTGTCCAGAAACTGTAAATAGATGTTTTCTGAAATTATGGAGATTGCCAAAAACATTTGGCACTAGAGATTTTATTTCCTGAAATTTCATGAACAATACACAATTTTGTACAATTTAACAGTAGTAGTGCAGCTAATTTCATGCTGCCAAATTCTTGTTTTTGTTTTCAATGAGGATGTTGTTAAGGATTTTTTTTTTTTGGACAAGATATCAACGATGTCACAGTTCTATGGCCCATATTTTGCTTTTTGCTTGTCTGTTACATTATACTTGTAGTAGTGTTTTCTATTTAAAGTGAGATATGTTCATGAGATTGTGATTATATTGTTCTATATATTCTATTAATTTGACACCTGCCCCCCCCCCCCCCATCAACAAAAATTCAAAAACGAGTAGCAATATGATAAAATTTTGTTCAAATCATGCTTTTGCACATTTTACCGTTAATTATGAAGATATACATTGTTTTTCTTCAGGTTTTTGTGTGAGGTTTAGAATCTGCAACTCACCAACCCTCTATCCACTCTTGAAATGGAAAACCAAAAACTTTTGATTAGAGAGAAGGAAAGGCAACAGATATGCCTCTCTTGTCCCAAAAAAAGTTTTCAAAATTCTGAAATTATAGAGGTTGCCAGATGATACTTTTAATTTCATGCCGGGAAATTGTTTTGTTATTCAAAGTGATTATGTTGCAATATTTATAATTACCTACCAGAAATCACAGGTTGAATGGTTCTGCTCACTTGAGCTTTCTGCTTTTTCTATTCATAACAATTATCAAAGGTTTGTTTACGAGAATGTCACACACAATAGGTACTTAATTTGAAATAATTATGTGCAATTATAAATTGAAAAGAAAAATATGAACTATGCTAAAGTCGAATTTAAATTAAATGTGGCAATATAATGTGATAAGATTCTGTTAAATTAGTCTATTATTTGATTGTTAATTCTTAAAACAGTAAATCTAAGTCTTTTTCTGAAATAGAGTTGTAATATATGTAGCCAAGGGCGGCTGGGGGGGGGCAATGAGGGCCATCCCCCCCCCCCCCCGAAAAAAAAACACCCACCCATTTTAAAAAAAAATTTTAAGTGGCGCCGCAGTGAAGGCAGGCACTGCGTACACCACCATCTTTTCCTTAAAAAAAAATTGGTTAAAGTGGTCAGAAATTGCCTCAGATCACACCACAGAGCCGAACCCCTCGCCGTAATTATTGGGACCCACTTTTTTTTGTCTGCAGCAACTTACAAATAATGCTAAAGCGTAAATTTGCAGGTTTCTGTTCTTCTCAACTTTGAAATAAAAAAAACCCTAAAGTTTTCAAACAAAGCGTCATTTGAATGGTTGTTGCCTTTGATAATTCTGTGAAGTTTGTGTGCTGCATTTGTAAGACGAGATTGAAAAAAAAAGTCTTTTGGGAAAAACTTGTTCGAGGTGGCGGATTTTCCAGATAGTGGATGGATTCTTCCGTTTTCTTAACCTTTGCTGATTCTTTTTGTGTCCAAAGAAGCAATCACCCTTTCTGCCAGATTGTGAACTTGCAGAGGCCTACGTATATTAGCTGAAATTTTGGGGCGAGTAAAATAAAAACGGAACCCAAACACCAAAAAAAAAAATATGTAGCACCAAAAACGATTATGACTGGTGAGCCAACTTAATAATCAAAACTACGTTTTAGATGAAAAAAAAACTTTGGGGCAATAATTTCTCAAACTAAGACTAAGAGAATGGTTCTGAAAACTCAAACCAGTCGAAATTGACAAGCGCATAAAAGTTCAGCTCAGAGCTTTTCTAGATTTTTGACGAGCGCCCTCATTCGGTATGTTTTGTATCAACAAGCTCATAAATCCAACATGGCAGAATGGCTGCTCGAAGTAGTGCAACATCTGCCGACATTTCGCAGGAGGAATACTCGGAACTCGAGGACGAAATCTTCCTCCCTTTTCCGGGCAAGGTGAGACCGACTCTCCCAGCTGACCCGGGCAGCCAAACCAGTGCCTCAGAGTGGGAGGAATTACCGCTGGAGTCGGAACCGTTTCCAGAAACAGTTGACCATATTGAACCGACATCCACCGCTGCGTTGAACAACGTACTGAGATCCATCCATCATGGACACGGTATCCACGCGCAGTCAGCGGGGTTGGACGGTAGTGATTCCGAGCCCGTCCCCCACGGGCTGGACGCGGTTTGCACCGGCAGGGTGAGCCCTAGGGTACGGGTGAGCACCCTCTCCCTCGACAGTCGGGAAAGTGACAACAGCGAGTCCCCAAACAGCCCCACAAAAGGCGGACCGCTGCGCAGAGACTCGTCCATTTTGGACGGCCTGCTGTGCGAAATTTACGACCGGTGTCAGCTGAACTCGCGGTACAGCATCGACAGCGATGGTTTCACTGAGTATTCGAGTAACTCGGAAGGGGCGTATCTAAGCAGTAAAGGGGACAGTTTCCAGGAGTCCACCCGACTGCCCAAGGCGATACTCAATGCCAAAAGTAAGATGATTAAACTTTGTGCTTCCCACTCTGATAATTTAATTGCGTGTAGTTTTAACTTTTAATGCACCCCTCTTTTGTCTATTCATTCCTCCATGGTTTTACACATACATATTTACTGACAAAAACACATCCATGACAGCAGAAAAATAAATATCCTCGTTTAAAGAATCCATTCACCAAACTCTTAAAAAGTTGAGTTTTTTCTTTTATTATGTATTTTTGATTTGTACGTTTTGTTTTAAAGGGAAAAAAGGAAAGAATGTTGCAACTGACGCCGCTTTTTTCTTCATAATCATCTCAATGAAGGACCGTCAATGCAAAAATGATAATGAGGCATGAATCTGGGGCTGAGAAACATTTCCAGATTTGTGAGGAAATACTTAAATATTTTCTTGACTCTCAATAGACTTTGTACACAACCATTGAAGTAGGGTCAGGTTGCAACATTCGTTCCGGGAAAAGAACAACCTTTGGAAAGATGTCCATATACGAAGTTCACTCAACACCCTGTGTGAGATTGGACTGAACAATTCTAAGTGTTCTCTAAGAAAATGCTTGTATTTTCTCACTGCTCAAAGTATTATACTGTACCAAAACTCGTGAAAAATGTGTGATGATGAACTATAGAAAGTTAAAATGAACAAGGTGAGTATTTCTTTTATATAATAATTGCAATGTTCTGTACGGAGTACATTGCTCAGACAGTGTGAAAGGCTAATTTCAAAACGTATTTTATTTATTTCTAGCTAGTTCATTTTGTGAAGTTAAACTAGTGATTGCCATGTGGGAATTTATGGTATGTGACGTCATGGGGCAGGTGGTATTTTAGTATTGACATTGTTTTCACTTGTTTTTTGTTTATAAATACATACAAATTGGCACCTGTCATCCAAATGGTGTCATCCAAATGGTTTCAATGACCTTCTTTGATGACGTGTGTATGCATAACATTTTATATGCACCATCTGTCGCCATTCTGCATGCTACACATGTTGGGCATTGGACTCTTGTGATATTCAGTTATAGCAACCCACGCATAATTATGGTCTGGGTAGATTTGAAAACGTGTGTTGTTGTGTATGGACACGTCAACAGCATTGACTGTCGTGCACAACAGTGTAAATGTATAGCGTTACATTACAGGTCCAGAGATTTTGGAAAGTATTGCAGGATCCAACCCACGGATCATTATGTAGTCTAGGGGCTAGACTTTGTTATTGTTTGATACGCAATAAACTGCCGCCGCAATAACCCGCCACCACGCTATCACGACACAATATCACCCACAAACCCGTCAGAACAACGTCTAGGCCAATTCCTAAAATCTTCCCCCCCCAAAAAAAAAAAATTGGGGAAACTGGTGCTCATGCGCGACTTCTGCAGGCAATTACGGTCCATTTTCAGTCCCACACAATTCTACCTCCATGATACTACACATAACAAAAGAGCTGACCAGTCAAATTGCACAAAAATCTAGAGCTGCATCTTTTATTGCACTGGAAGAAAATTTGAGAGTTTGCTTCGGAACTAGTCCGTGATCCAACACAACACTAATACAATGCACACGCTTTGTACACCTTTAGATCAAATGCCTTGGCATACATGTACATGTACATACTGCATGTACACTGTACCCTGAACATTCCATCATTATGATAATTACTCCTAATTTACATGCGTACATGTACCAGCATTTTTCTCCACATTGTACATGTACTGGTACAGTTTAATTATTGACAGAAAGCCAACCCTTCATAAATTGGCATTTTTTAATAACAAAAGAATTGATGGCATTTGTGATCACACGATTTGAGGGTATTTTTGTGTTGCAGTTGAGTCCTGTTTCAAGTCGGACAGCTATACTGGAAATGATGTGTGCTGGTAGAGTAGGAAGTAGGCTTTTGATTAGGCCAAGTAAGAAAGTAGGTGACTGCTCTATGTTCCGACACCCCTATGTTCCGACAACCTAGATTGTGTTACTCCCGGTTAGGGTTAGGGTTAGGGTTAGGAATAGGAATATGTGCAGTCGGAACATAGGGGTGTCGGAACATAGAGGTGTAACCAGAAAGTAAACCAGTTTCTTGTTCCCGCACCCCTTCCTTTTTCCCCCTCAGCCCCCTTTTTCCTTTTTGTAAATCCATGCATTTGCAATATGTTTTGCAAACTTACATCCAAAAAAATAATAGTTCTGTTTCTGGTTTCCCTACCTACCCTATTCTGACAGCCCCTACCCTTGGAAAAATGAGGGAAAAACACCCAAAACCATCACTTTATACCTTTTACCCTTGACTACACGCAGACGCCTCCATATGATTGTACACACACAAAAAATTGCCAAAAAAAAAAATTCCCTACCTACCTACCCTATTTTCGAATGCCAGGTAATCAGAATCAGAACTATTTTTTTTGGCCTTATTGTCATTATACCGGTATTGTCTTATAAACAAATAAATGTGTTCCCAACAAAGTTGTAGCTTGATGTAGAAAGGGCGACGGCTTCTTTGGACACAATTTTGTATCGGCAAAAGAGTCAAGAAAATGGAAGAATCAATCTGCCATCTTAAGTGAAAAAGGGAGGGGGCGCCTCCTTCAATAAAAAAAAAAAAACGCGGACAAGAAAGTGGTGTTTTTTTTGCTCGGCCTCATGGGTTAGAATCTGAGTTTAAGGACAAGTACCTGGTACATGTATGCTTTTGTCTAAGACTTAAGAACGTGCAACATTTAAACCAGTAGAGAGAGTATGTGATTTGTTTTTCCTACTTGGAGTTGATATTTGCACCAAGTGGGTTTAAGTATAAAAAAAATATAAACATCCATTATATTCCCTTAAGGTGAGTGCCAAAAGTGACAGCACATCAACACTTCTGTCAGGTGTCATGAAAATACTTTTGAACATAGTGGGAAAGTGCACCCTCCCTCCTCCCTCCCCCCCCCCCCTGAAATATTGAAGTAAAGAGAGTATATAGTTCAGAGGCATGTTATTCCTTAAAAATGAATACATGAATGTTTATGTATGCAATCCAATAATCAACTTTACAAATGTTCCTATGTCCATTACAAGTGATTCTCAAGGCTTATAGGCCTATTTAATGCTATGTATAGCCTACCGGTAGCTAAAACAACATTGTCTTGGATCTTTATGACTTTAAGTTTAAAAGTTGTTTTCACCTTGAGGTCCATATTATTTCGATCCCAAAAGTATTCTCACCGCTTTCCAACAAGAGATAAAGAAATTAAAGTGCAAGATAAAGTGACTTCATATGCAACCTGTTTTACAACACAAAAAGTGTTGATAGGTGAATTCAGGAAACAGTGTCAGCAACTGTTCCGGGACCGTCTGTGAATTATGCAAATAACAGTGTACGGAGTGCAAAATTTGCACTTGATAGTCCAGACGAGAGTGCTGTGCTTGCATTCGTCAACCAGAACCATACATTTGATTACCAAATTACCATATTGGGTTGTAAAAACAAAGAATGTCTAATTATATCAGATTACAGAGCAGGCTGTGACCATACAATGTCAATAAACTACTACACCCCATATGTTTACCCAAAGTTGTATTTTACGAAAATTCAGTCATTGATTAATGGAGGTGTACTGTTTTGCAGTACTTTGTTGATAAGTATATGATACAGCTGTTTTTGTTATTTTTAAATGGTCCATAAGTAAATAGAAAATCCAGTTTCTGCAATTTTTCTACTCTTAAATGTACATGTACCGGTATGACAACTTTTTGACATCCCTTTTTGGTTAATTTTATTGAAAAGTGCACTTCTGTTAAAAAATAAAAAATTGTCCATGCTTTTCCAAACAACTGAGGGCGCTGTTGAAATCATGTCAATTCAGAAAGACACTTTTTAGTTTAGGGGTTTTCTGTGCAAATTGTGAACCAAAAAATGTGCTCATTTGAAAACATTTGTGAAAAACAAAATTTGGCTTACTGCTACTGGTATGGTATGTACTACTGACACAACAACAAATTACCAAAGATTTTTTTTTTAACAGCAAAATATCCAAACTTCTGGCAGCTTTTGGTGCTGAAATAGCTTGAGGTTTCTGCCTTAAATGACATAATACGAAGGAAATTGGTATCATTAACCCTAATCCCTAGTAGGTGTGCAAAATCATATTGAAATTGGAGGATTCAGGACTGTTAGGGCTATAACCAAAATTTGGCACCAAAATATCCTTGAAAATGGCAAACTAAAATTGAAAATAAGATGAAATGAAATAGGAAACAAAGGTGCATAAATTTACATAGATTGCATTAAAAAAAAATACATTGCATGCAATTTATTTTTTTCTAAAGCTGCGGTCCATCATTTGCAGCTATCCAAAAAGTATCTGACGTAATTATTGTTGAAAAACATACTTAGTTGAAAGATAGTAAGGGAACTAAACTCCCTGTGAGATTTTTCCTTCTGGCATGCTGTTATTTTGAAGAAATCAACGAAAGAAGGCCTTTCCAACGATGCCTCCAAAAATAAAAGACGCATTGTTTGGAAATTTCCGTTATTTGGCGAAGCTCGCGCAAGCGTTGACACGACGCACACACGGGCGCGGTTGCTATAATTCTTCGGATCGAATTCGCGTAGCTGCAATCAGCTCAGTGAGAACTTGTCTCTGACGCTGAATTCAGGCCCAATTTAAAACATGATTCAGCAGCTTTTGATTTGAAATTGAGATCCTAGAATGTTGTTTTTCTCAAAATATACGGCTAAAGCTGAGCTGAAACTTCATCAGGTAAGTACAGCACCCTTCTTTAGATTTTGAGAACTTTTCTTGCTTCAAACAAACAAAATGCACAAATTACAAATGATGGACTGTACCTTTAAAGGGAATATACAACATTTGCAAACATCGAAAAATAAAACTACCAAGTTTTTACGAAATACCTTACTAGGATGTTGGTAAATGACAGTCAAAAGCATCCTGTAAAGTTATGGCACCTGGTGTGAAGTCATTTTCAAGAAAATGGTATTTTTGTATACGTT